CTCAATGGACATTTGCATATGTGTGTATAATTATATGAATATATATATATGATATTAATATGTATGCACTTTGATGTATCATGTTTCAAGATATAGTGTCAGTAACAATACAAGGTGCTCACCCTGCCTTTGGAGAGAAGAGTTGCGATGAATCGCATGAATGTCACCACCGATTCAAGTCAACAATGACTAGTATTTGGAGTCATCCTTCTAGATTGCTGTGCTGTCTTAGGGTGCACTTCCTATTCCAGGAGTTTCAACTTTCACCGCTTTCGTGCAACCAAAAGCTGTGGTCAAGAGGTCCTGCCTGCGGAAATACTTGGACTGTTCCTAAATGCTGGAGGAATAACACTGGTTGTTTCCTATACACGCTGATTGTCAGTGTATTTGGGCGCTTGATTCTGCAGCAGTCACACGAATATTCCGTCGCTTTCCTCACTTCTTTGTGCGCTTTCTGAGTCTGCGGCCATCGGAGAGAAGCTGAAGGATTGGATGTGCCAGGCAGATGATGCTTCGCGAGACAAGATCCCAATGCATCTCCTGTAAAGAAACGGACGACACATTTTTGAATTCGTTTATGACAAGTTGTTGCGCAACTATTCGGCATTCTTCACAGGTTGATGCCGAGAGCTGCAGCGCTGCTCTCAAATCTCTGGAGGCTGGCGAGAGTAGTTTCTTGAGGGTGCAGTCATTCGACAAATGAGAGACAGCGACAATGGTCCAGAAACAAATAGGAAGTGGAACCAGCTGTCATTTACTGTCGTGTGGAAGTGAGCATCAGGCATCAGGCTTTACAACACATGACACGATTTCATCAATCGCTGGTTCGACACACACACACAACCACACTGGTACTGTATAGTTTGCTACGCATCATGCGCGTGTCATGCAACGACGAAATGGGGCATAGCGCCGGCATAGCTCCAGTATAAACTTTCGGAGCTCGCAGCAAGAGAAAAAAAAACACTCCTGCGGTTTAGCTCTGCAAGGGAGACAGCTCAGCCGAACTAGCTTTCTCCCTTAGAGCACAGAGAATCTCACGAACAGAAGACTCAAAATCTTCTGGAGGATCAGAGGAAGCAGCTCGTTGCACATGCATTTTTGCCCGTCCGTTGGCTTCAGGGTGGCAAGGGTCCTAAGCACGCGAAAGTGGAAACGATGGAGGGCCTTGTCGGCAAAGGACTGCTGGGCGAATTCTCATGTCCAGTTCAAGTTGGAACCCGCAAGTCTTGGGCATGCTGCAGGAATTTGCACCGGCGAGGGGGTTGTGTCTTCGCCTGACAAGGGAGCAGCATCAGCAGAAGAGTGTCAGGTGCTCGGATGCTTGCTGAGCTTTCTCAAGCCCAGGATAAACAGTCAGTGAGACATAGGGTCAGCATGGTCAGCATCGTCGATGGTGAGAGATTCCTTTTCTGAGGCCGCTTGGCATGCAAAGCAAAGATTGAGAAGAATGCGGCTGATGAATCATTCGATACTTGTACCGGTGCTTTGGCGGCATTACTGTGAAGATCAATGGGAATTTCAGGAACCTAAATTGGAGGTACCTACCATATATAAGGCCTATATAAGGCCTATGTAAGGGAATATCCCCACAAAATATGGACTTATATGGTACAGTACCTCCATTTTAGGATCCTGAAATTCCCATTGAGAAGACTGTGCCCAAAGCCTTTGGGCCAAGGGATTTTTCTGCCAACACTAGCCGAGCGGCTGGCATTGTCACTTAGGCTTCAGTTGGGATGCAAAAGGAGAGCCGGGTTCCCAGGTGCCGGATGATGTAGATATATATATATATATATGATGCAGCCTCCCAGGTCCCCGCCCCCTCCCCCCCCCCAATGGCTATGGGTATACATGAGCTATGTTCCCCGCCCCCCTGTGGGTGGGTAGGGGGTGGGGGGGTTAGTAGTAGTTAGTAGTAGTTAGTAGTAGTTAGTAGTAGTGAGTAGCAGTTAGTAGTAGGAATGGGTGTGGATATACAGGAGCTATGTTCCCCGCCCCCCTGTGGGTGGGTAGGGGGGTGGGGGGTTAGTAGTAGTTAGTAGTAGTTAGTAGTAGTTAGTAGTAGTTCGTAGTAGTTCGTAGTAGTTTGCAGTAGGGATGGGTATGGATATACAGGAGCTATGTTCCCCGCCCCCCCTGTGGTGTGGCGGGGGTGTGGTACTGCGTATATATATATGCTTATATATATATGTGTGAATATATGTATATATATATGTGTATATATATATACATATATGTATAGACATGTATATATATATTTATTCGAATACGAATATGAATATATATATATATATACATATGTATCTATGACATGTAAATCTATATATATATACATACATATATAATATATATATATATATACACATAATATATATATATAGGAAGTAGATACATAGCACATGTATATATATATATAACTATAGATAGCACGTAGGCACTTTGAGGGAGTATGTGTCCTACGCAGGTCGTCTAAAGGGTAGCATGTACCTAGTAAATGGGAGGCTGGTAGTCAGAATCGCTGCAAAAACCTAGCAAATGCGAGGCTGGACCTCAGAAATGCTGCCAATAGCTTGCAAATAGAAGGGAAGTGGGGGTGCTACCTGGGGACCCATCCCATTCGGGGGGGAGGGGGGGGACCACGCGGGCGGAAGACGGGATCATATATATATATATATATAATTTTATTTACATACAAATGCATACTTATATATATACAGTATATATATATATGTATATTTATACACATGAATATAGATATAGATAAAAACGCACACACACACACATATATATATATATAGTGTGTGCGCGCATGTAAGTATATATATATATATGTAATATATATATATATACATTTGCATACACACACATACACACACACAGACATATCATATGCAAACATATGTGTAGATGTGCGTGTGCATGTCATGCAATGTTATGTTTTGCTTGTCATGTGATGTACCGCGACATAATATAACGTAGTGTACATATATATATATATACACATATATATACACACATATATATATATATATACACATATATATATATACACACATATATATATATTACATACACGCACACACACACATATATATATACACACGTCTGTGTGTATGCATATTCTTATGCATAGAGATATATTTTTTGGAATTATTGAGGTCATGGGTTCTACCAAAAGTGGGACCACAGTGAACAAAGATGGTGACGTAGTCAGCCAGAGCAGCCAAAGCACTGTGGGCTGAGTGTACAAGGCGCTTAGATGGTTTGCGTCATTCCTGCCATTCCTGAGGTCCTGCATGACTTATGGGGCATGGCCCGTTAAGAAGGCAGACCCTTTGGCAGGCCGCAGTCAGATGTCTAGGATTGCAAGGTCTGATTTTCAGTCGATCATTTCCTTCCACCTCGTAAAAACATGTTTTCTTGTTTGGAAAGGAGATTTCCGCCAGACATATCCGTGGTGTCTCCCCAGGGGTTGAGCTGAACCTTTTCATTTTTGTCTTTTCTCTTGTGCCTAATTTGATGGTGCTCTCCCTTTAGTTATGTGCCAGGCCCCGATTCCAGCTGCTATTCAATGTCAGTGGGTCGCCGACTGGAGGCAGGACAGTCAAAGCAGCTTCAGGGCAACCAGGCCCTTGATTGTGCACTACAAGAATTGTGCAATGCAAGCCGTAAGCAATGTTCCCTGAAACTTTCAATTACTTTTGATTGTAGAGTAGGTAGCTCTGTCTTTCACAGAAAGCAGCAGCCGCATGAATTGCTTTATGGGTTGGATTCCTGCACTTTGTCACCGACACAGAAGGCACAAGCACCGAGAAATGATTACCCCTTCCAACCATTTGGACAAGAGAGATCTCATCTCTGTGCACTTCCTGGACATCATATAGTACATCATGTTACTATTTCATATCATACACACAGACATGTACACATATATATATATATACACATGCACGCACACACACACAGATATATATATATATACACATTGATTATACATTTACACACAAATATGCATATAAATGTCTACAGATAGTTTCTGTCCTTGTTGATAAACATGCTACTCTACAGCTGTTGCATCAGATTGATGCAGATTCTCGATGTCCAGATCCAAACTGACGAGTTCAGGTGGCTCCACAAGGTCTGTCGTTGGGACCTGAAGCATGCTGTAGCAACAGCAGAGCCTTCGCTGTTTTAGATTTTGCACACAATATGTTTAAAGATCTTTCGTCAAAACTTTCAGGTCAACAAATGAGGCCAGCTGGGCTGAGCGGCTGAGGGAACGGCGAGACCTAGAATTGAAGAAACAAACTCTTCCTTTTCCAATGCCCGACCAGTTTTTGAGGAACGGTCTACCAGCACAAACACTATAAGGAAGAAAAGACAACTACTTCCTTTATAAGTGGAAGCGGGAAAAAAACGAAAAAGAAGGTATTGCCACATACTTCAACCAAAGGCAATACAAAGAACGAAGCTTAATCACTGGGCAAAAAAACAAAAAAACTAGGAAGACTTGCTCAAATTGATGCACTGTTTGACTCGTAGGACTCCGATGATGCAGGGTTTAGATGTTGAAAGCTGCTGATCGATCATAAGGACTCTGGCTATCTCAGTGGACATGCATTTAGAATGTTTAGATTGCTTTAGGATGCATGGCCCACTATCTCAAGCCTTGCAGCTTAAACAAGAAAATAGAAAAAAATAGAAAACGCTTGGTTTTGGATCCAGTGCAGGGTTCAGCTTTCTGAATCTGCCTGCCAGGTCAATTTGGATTTCTTTGCCGATTTGCTTTCGGGGAGCGAGGGCTCGTCGCATATGAACATTGTGCCAGCAGTTCCAAACTGCTTTGAGAGCTGCTTGTCCAGAATGGCAAGACGCGGACTTTGGCAAGACTTGGGTTGACTTGAGTTCCTGCATGCACCCATTTTTTGCTCCTGCAGACTTCTGAACTGAAAGGACACCTGAGAGGTTACCTCTTTTTGGCTGCAGCAGGTTGTAAATTGGATAGACCATGATAGACCCCTATCCACTTATTTGAGGAAGTGGCCATGTCGTGTGGAATTGCTGTGTCACTGTCTGTCAACCAGAGCGGATCTTGCAGGGCATGTTGACGCAATGTTGTTTTCTCCCTTGGCAGTGGCAAACTTGAGGCTTCTCCTGGTATAGTATCAGCAAGCCAATTGATGTCCCTGACAAGACCTTCGAGATCATCAAGTACATGGTCAGAAAGATGCTTGGAAGGAATTGAAAAAAGTGGTGTTGGTGACCCGGTTTGGCTGAGCTTGTCTTCAGGATCCAAAGCTGCACTGCAGATATCGCAGCAGAAGCCAACACAGATTGTGGACACATTAAACCGCACTAAGTCATCTCTGTCATCCTCGATCCTTGCCCGAAACCATGTTCTGTGAGGGATGCGGAGCTCTTCCGACCTTTAGCTGCTTCAGAGAGTAAGCATCAGGTGAAGGCGCATAGCAGCTTGTAGCATTGTCCGTAGCAAATCGTAGCAACGCTGTTACTGTGTTTCTGAATATTGTTGGATTCTTGGTGCCTGCCACAGGTGCTGGTCCAGCCTGCCTGCTTTCAGGAGAGGTTTTCCACACATCAACTTGGAAGACACGTGCCCACCCATGCCCTGTTTGAGCAATGGCATTGGTCCCAGAGGTTGGAATGAGTTCTTGATGAGTTCTTAACAGTTAGTGGGTGTGGATGTTTCAAATGGGCAACTCGCAGTTGGGGAGGACTGCAGCGGGCAGCTCTTTGGAGCTTGTCAGAAGCAGAATGCCATGGTTGAGAAAGACCAAGCAGAGGAGCTCGAACGCATCTGAAAGCAGCAAACGAAACTGCTGGACAAGAAACATATAAATACACACACACACATACGCACAGATATGTACACACACATTATATATATATACATACATGCACATATCGAGCCAAATGCATAATCGTTTGAAAGGGGAAGACCTCGAAGCACACAGCCTGATGCAAAAAGCGAACAGCATCTACGCAGGAAAGCAAGAAACCTGTGATTGCGGAGCCAGCCTACTATGAACCTGTCCCACAGCCGGAGACGTTCCTTGAATGAATGCGAAAGGAAATGGCAATAGTTTGCCCATGTTCACCGTTGACACTCATTCTCTGAAGCGAGGCGTGGGGGAACGATGATGCTGTCCCTCATGGGAGATGTGGCTTGGCATCAGCTGTCCAAACTTGAAGGCAACGATTGGTAGGCGCATGCAGGCACATTCTCACATGCATACAGCACGCACAACCTGTAGAACCCACAGGTTGCAGGGTAGAGTGCTGTTGTGGCTGTTGTGACAAGGTGGATGACCTAGGTAAAATGATGTTGGTCGAAGTGTGCGCTTTGGTTGTTCTTTTAGTGCTGGCATGGTTTCATAAGTTGACGCATGTTGAAAGTGACTTAAAGGTACTGACCTGAATCTGATACTGTAGATTAACACGCGGTGTGCCATGCCAACTTAGTTTCACTCAATTGTCCTGAGGCGGCATACAGCGATGTTTTCTCGACGCAGGATGGCGTGTGGGCATGGAGTGCAGTCATTGGAGCCCTGGCAAGGATGGTTTTCAAAGGAAAGGGGGTCCAAGTTGAGTTTTAATAGAATGGAAGTCGGTGTTGGTAGTCAAAACATGTTGCATTTGCGGAGCTTCCAGTTTTTTCCTATTTTCTTCGGATTTCATCAGCTTGTAGAAGAAAAACGGCCAGGGAACACCCTTCATGACCCAGACCCAGACTCCATTTTGACCTCTGCGGGATGTGAGCATGGGCAGTGTTAGACAGCTTGTCCACAGGGCTTTGGGAAAGCCTTTCTAAGGCGCTGGTTCCTTGGCCTTGGGCTTTTTGGTGACTGCAGGACTTCGCATTGGCGTGGGCCACTTTAGCAGCTATTCCCGGCTGTTCTCCACTGGGTATGTGTTATTGCTACTCGTACTGTGTTTGGACTTGTTGGGACATTTGTGCAGGATGCATCGCCTGCTGTACATATCGCCCACCTCAAGAGGAAGTGGATCCAAACAAGGTGATGGCTCGAGACTTCGGCGCAAGTTAGGTTGCCGCAGGGCTATCGTCTATAGGACCGTGAGTGGATGTGAAACACTGCATTGAAATCTCTGCACCCTGGGCCCCTACTGGGCCCCTACTGGCTATTTACTGAGGACTTCTTTACGAGGGTCCGGAAGGCCTACGTTGACGCTGCTTTGGAAAGGGTCTGGGAGAAAATTTTGGTGGGTATTGCTGGTTCCAAGACGCGCAGATATTCATGCGTGAGTTGCCTTGCTTCCGGTATTTCATGTGGTTCCTCGCAGGTGAACGGGAGGTGCTCTTGCAGCCGGCAGCCTTCAGGAGCATACCAGACAGACTTCAAAGAGCAAATTTTGTAGCTTGATAACCCCAATCATGATTGTTTCCGTGACTCACGTCATGAGGACGTCTACAACGGTTGGAGTGCCTTGACTTCACTGTCTGGTGCATCAGAGAATGAATCAGCTGCTTACGGGACATCGAAATTCTTGTACGTAGATGAGGTCTCTGACTTAATTAGGAAGCCGTTCCACAAGTTTGCTTTTGAAGAATAGTAAAGAACAAACCATTGTGACATTCGACCCTGGTTTGTATCCGTTTCTTCCTGTTGGAGCTTAGCAGGCAGTTTCTTCACCTTCAAAGGGCCGAAAACAACACCGAAAAAACTACAGCTACATCAATTTTGAGGTGGCGAACCTGAATTTACATCTAGCTGCTTTGCGGTTAGAACTCTGTCTCCTGTACTTTGATCATGGATTGTTTAGTCAGTTTAGTCTATTCTATTCCAAATATTCCAAAGGAGCACCATTTTGAAAGAGACATTTTCAATGCGTTTATTGTCGATCACTCAGGGCGATGCGATGACAAAAGTAGACGTCAGTCAGCCGTGGGGAGCTTGGCACATGTTGTGCTATCTCTCGTGGTATCATGGCACCATTTCAGCGAGGCCCGAATGAGCACTGTGCAGTTACCGAGGCCCCCAGTTCAGACTACAGGCTTCTTCAGCAGCTTCGGTGGAAGTGTAAAGTAATGCCTCTCGTCAGCAGTCATTTGCTTTCATACACGCTAGAAATCCCTATATAGAATAGTAATGAATAGTATGAGTCCTATGAGTTAGATTCAGATTGAGAGGGTCGCTCTTGGGTTGGCATCTGGAAGCTGTTTTGCTCCCCTCAGAATGCTCGCACGAAAATCATGCAAGGCGATCAGGCATGGAATCTCTCGGTCTGAGTGTTCTGGCCACCTCGTTTCACAAGGCTGAGATATCTGGCAAAGTCTGGAGTCGACGATGCAAGGGCTGGACTTGAAGGGCACCGATGTTGAGTTGTCACTTTTGGAGGTTATCATAGAAACAGGCTGCTTTGGAAATTTGTCGCGGGTGCCACTTCCCATTCCAAACAGTTGCAGTGCAAGCAAGGATGGGGCGGGTAGGTCAGCCGGTCCAATGCCGTCCCTACCATTTCATTCAACGGGTCAGTCAGGGTTGTTTTGCCACTGACGCAGCTGCAAGCATCTCCGCCCTGTCCAATTCAAACGGATGTGCAGAACGCTTGGTTCTGACAAGCAGGCTGCCTGAGCCATATATCAGCAGGGCACAAATCAGAGCCATGCGGCAGACTGGTGATCGGACCTTGCCAATGAGCAATCGGCCACCTGAAGTGGTGTCCAAACCGCAAGAAAATAAGCAGTCATGAGTCCTGCGCGCGTTCCGTGTTGATGAATCTTCTACGAGCAAAATGGGGCGATCGGCATGTTTCATCATGTTGCTATCAACTCTTGTTTCGCTTCCGAGGCTCAGGCAGGTGAGGCGAATCAAGGGAGCTGGGGCACGAGCTGTCAAATGAATGTCCTTTGAATTGAAGTCAATCTTTGGTTATATATATATATATCTTTTCTGCACCGCAGGTGCAGGAGGCTGCACTATAATCATTTTTGCTGCTTCTTCTTTTGATAACTTTCATATTATGCTTTTGAAGGGTCCTTGCGTGGCTGAGGCTAAGCCCTTTACCCTTTTGAAGTTCAATGTGTTCCGATGCCAACTCGATGTTCAGCACTTCCATCTGGACTTGGATCTCTGTGCCAGGCAGCTCAGGCCGAGCAGGCCGAGCAGGAACTGTGGCGTCGAGCCTACCAGTTGGAGCGGGAACGGGCAGAGCCAGGGAGCTCAGCTGTTCACAACTTTCACAACACTTGACAGATCTTGACAGTCAAGCTGACAGGCAGAGGACTTCATGTCATGTATGCTGGCCCCATTCTCTCCATCCCTCCCTTCACATATCTTGTGGCTGTTTCCATCAGCTGTTTTTTGGCTTTCGATTCCGATAACCCTGTTGTTTTGCAACCAAAGCGAGTCTAACATGGAAACTGTCGCGCCATGTTTCCATATGTTGCCATATGTTGCCTGACTGTAGAGGCTTTTGGGCGTACCTTTGGGGGAGGCGGCCACTGTATCGCGAGTTTTAGTGAAATCTTAGTGGCTTCGCAAGAATATTTCTGTGGCAGATTTAAGCCGTTTAAGCAGCCAATGAGATATCAATGGGATCCCAATATATCCCAATGATCCATAAGAATAAGTCTGCGATTTTGCGTCAGGCCGCAGACAAAGTATCGTGGCAGGCAACGACTGATGCGTTTCCTTCACATCGGTTTCTCCCCACGACTGACGAGCTTTCAAGTTCAAAGCTTGAAAGTATGTCTGCAAGATGACCATTGTATTCCACAATATTTTGCAACCATGCCCTTTCAAATTTTCTGAGGCCTTGTCTTTCCCCTGGCATGATTCTTGCTTGCCCTGAAGGCTTCTTTTGAGGAGTTGCGTGGGAGAAACGCCGAAGCGGAGCGGCAACGTGGACATCCTCAGAAGGAAATATCAGGTACATGTCAGGTACTTGTAGAAGATGCATCATCAAACAAGAAATGAGCCTTATACGTATACAATTTATACACTTTCTATATACTTTGAGAACTGCCAACCTTCCCTGAGTTTCCTAACTAATTCTGACATTTCCAGTGCGACACTGACTATATCATTCTCCAGCTGAATCTGGTAGATTAACACCCCTTGATTTTCGATCCAACCTTGAGGTCGCGAGGAACTTGCAAAGAAAGAGCTGGAGGCAGCACAGGCAGAGGCAGAGGCAGAAACTGTAACAACGTTCACCCCTTGGTGATGAGACGGACAAGTGCATTCTCAAAGACTCAAATGAGTTTTGCGGAGAATCTGAGTTATACGTGATGGTGACATGCAATGGGTATCAGTGGGTATACCGTGTAATGTGACTAATCCAGAGTAAACAGGGATGCGTGAGAGATGGATGGGGTTTTTGAACGTTTTTGATATTGGAGTGTATAGCAGGGGTTCTGTATTCAACCAGGTTGCGCTGCTTGGCTCAGCTGGCTTGATCTTCCGAAAGCTCGGTTACACTTACCGGACTTACCGGACTTACCCACTCTTTTTGGTCCCTAAGATGATTCAGGTTCTGCATTCCCCAGTCCTTCGCCTAAGTATTAGACCACTATAGACCACTATCCATGCGCAACGTGAAGGAAGGAGAATGCGGCGGCCATCCTACAGCTGCAGCAGCTGCATCGTATATTTAGAATTTTGGTTCGTGGCTTTTGTCTCCAACTGGTTTCAGATCAGATCGGACCAGCAAATGCCACAACTCAGCAGTCCTTTGATTGCACAGCCAATCCTTCGCATGGGTGACATCATTGGCCTACCCTGTGACGAGGTGACAGCAAGCCATGGTGTTTGGGCCACACCTAACTGGGAACATGACTCAGACATGAGTCTTTTTTTAAAGTCTTTTATGATGTGATTTTTCCAGGTTTGAGATGACCTAGGCACTAGGCACTCACTCCACAGCAAAGTACTCCTAGGCACGCAATGATCAATGGCCATTTCAGGAATCTCAATTGGGGGTACCTACCATATGTAAGGCCTATACAAGGCCAATGTAAGGGAATATCCCTACAAAATATGGCCTTATATGGTACAGTACCTCCATTTTAGGATCCTGGAATTCCCATTGAAATGAATAGCTTTGTCCTTAGGACATGACTTTGTTTCGTCGTCGCACATGTATGTCTTGTACTTATGCAATCTTATGATATCTTATGCACATATGCCACATATGAATTGATGGCAACCTTTTGCTCCAGGGAGAGCATAGCAATGCACAATTGGTGCAGCGGCTTCAGCCTGGGGATGCTGAAAGGCTCGCTAGATCTTTCTTGGAAAGCTGGGAATGCTTGAGCAGCTAGTCTGCTACTGGGAGGCCATTCTGGCCTCCTTTCACTAGCCGGGACAAGAACAGATATGGAAACGTCCATGTTTGCAGTTTCTGAAGGGAGACATAAGGGAGGGAGGTTCACAACTTGGGTGATTTTTACTCTTTTGTGAAGGTATTCACGGTGAGTATATTGGTATGTATGGTATGTGTAGGGCACTGGTGGTACTCTTTCTACCAGAAATAAACACCGAACGATGAGCGTGGACAGGTTGTCACAGCCCAGACTGGATAACCAGGGCGGTTCTCAGGCTTGCATTGCATTCGATTGCATTTTGAGTTACTGAGTAGACCAACTTCACCTGGCATTATCTTCTTGCAAGCACAGCAAGCACAGTGTGGTCGTGAAACCATGTAAAATTATGGCATTGCCGAATTCTTGGCATAGTTCGCCTGTTGAGCATCTGCACGCAGGCAGAGGTCACTGTTCCATTCAGGCCCTTTCCTCAATGGGGTAACGGGGAGCAAAGACACACAGGCACTGCGAATAGCATATATAGCACATTACAAGACATCATGAAACAGTGTCTGCGAGGAATAGGCTATAGGCGGAACCTGGCTCAGTGACTCAGGATTTCTGATGGGCAAAGTCCAAAGCCCCGTAGCCAGGCTGCAAAGAAGTGCTCAAGTGTTTTCCTTGCAAAGGCTTGTGTTGAAATTCTTGAGCACATTTGAGCACGAGATTGCTGCACGTGAGATGGGCTGAGACTGCCTGACTTGGCACCGACTTGGGACTGCTAAGATCGCGATTTGCTGTTGCCAGAGCAAGGGTTATTGGACATGATTGCCACGCTGCGGGCAGAGAGGCTTGTGATTGGCTTGCCGGACTTGTCTGAGCTTGCTCTGAATTTCGCTCCATAAAAGTTGAAATCTTGATGCATCAAGGGGAAGGGATGCATGGCTGCATGGGCACAAATCAGCGGAGAGAGAGCCAGCCAGGCGGTACCCAGATGTGATGGGAGATATACCAGTCGATCCTTGGATGCAAAACCCATTTGGATGTCGGACTCCATGAAATGACGCCTTGATCTTCCCAGACGTTGATTAACTTCTGTATTTCAACTGAGGATGATGCCGAGTCGGCCAATGATGGGGAAATTCCGGGTGGGAAGGTGTTGAAGGCAACGAAGTTGGGCCCACACCTGAAGCGGGAACCTTTGCAGGCCCGTGGAATCCATGGAACTGACGTCAGTGTTCCGTGCGTTTTAGGGAGTCAGAAGATGTCAGAAGATGTCAGAAGGCTTTCCTCAAACTTGGGAGCAGATCGGTTGCGTAAGGCGGGCTTACGCCTTCCTCGTTCACAGCCCAAATCGCCACAAGGCTGCCGTGTGTAGATTACTTTCTGGTGTGCCCTGCAGACAATGTGTTGAAAATAAATCTTAAGCACAGAAACATACAGTAAAATCCAGTAACACACATCAAGCAGTTTGATAGTAGTGATCTCTAGAACGCTTGGGATCTCTGGATGTAGTTGCTTGAGCGAGGTGTCGATGGTGATGCGCTTTTGGAGCAGGACAGAACAGAGTGCACAAACTTGGTGCGAAGATTTGCTGGGGATATCTGAGAAAATCTGAGGATTCAGCTCGACAGCCGCGAGGGTTTGCCTGCCTTTTTTTCTGCGCACAGAAATGCACAGGGTTCGTTACGGTGCATTGCATAATGTCATGGTCCTTTTGTTGATGTACTTTCCAGCCAGGGCCGCGCTGCACTTGGATCCAACAAGGTGCGGGACTGGGGTTCATTTGGAGGAATCTCCGCACTTTCTGACGTAGAAAAGTTCCAGAATCCGCTTCTATGACCTTCTACTTTCCTATGCTTTTAAGCCCTTCTTAGAATCAGCATTCATGGTTCCTTTGTCATATGGCGAGACATATGGCAAGACAACGATTACGAGGGTAAGAATATTATAGCCGCTGGCACAAACCCTTCCAGGCCCTTCCATTTAAACCCACAGACAGCTTGCGTTATCGTCTCTATTGGCTCTATATATAATACATCATATATTTGGATGTTTGCATCGCTCGGCTCAAGTTCTTTTCCCTCAATTTAAAGACATCCTTCAAACCCAGAAGTGATGGCACGCCAAGAGAAAAGCTCAGGACTGCGCTCAGAAGGGCTTCTGCCTGCGGTTGGTGTTGGTGCAGCTGTCTACTTCACATTGAGTGCCATCTCTCTCAGCACCCTTGGACTTGTTGGTATTGGAGCTGGAGTTGGCTATGGCGTGGGAAGCTGGGCAGTCGACAAAATCAGGCAGAAGCGCTGTGAGAAACAGATGGACAAGTTGCCGGAAGAGCTGAAGCAAGCTTTGCAGCAGTGGCAAGCATTCTTGGCTTCCCGACTGGGAAGACAGCCCAATCCTGCTGAGGCTGAGGCTATCTTTGCGGAGTTTGCACAGATGCAGCCCTTCTACGCCCAACAGGTGCAAAACTTTGTCCATGCTCATGGCGGCAGCACGACAGGCGGAGCTGCGTACGCCCAAGGGCAAGGCATGCCGTCTGGTCAAACAAGACATGTGCCTGTCGCGGAAGTATGACCGTGCAGCCTGACTTTTCCAAGAGCTTCCTGATCTAGGGTCATTCTGGCCGAACTAGGCCAGAACTGGTCGTAGTGTCAGTTATTTTTGTCAGCCCATCAGGGCCGGTAGGACTCACAAAGACCTGGCACACATGACATTTGAACTGCTGTGGGAGGCCAAGTCAAAACAAGTCACTGATTGAGCACGGCAGATCTTGCCATTGACACACGCACACCGGAATGATGTGGGAGAGAAATGAATCAGTTTTTGGCAGCCGCTTTTGCCTCCGCTTGACCAGGCTGCAGTATGCAAGGCCTTGGCGGGCAGCTGGGGGGAACCGAGATTAGAAGTGCAGCAGAAGCTGCAAGAATTGCTTACAGTGACCATTCGCTCTCCAATCCAGAGAGTTTCTGTTTGTCCTGGCATGAGGCGTTCCAGAACGGTAAACGCTGTCTTTCAATGGATCAATGGCCTCAATGGCAGCTCAGCAATGCTTTTGAGCTGTGCCAGGGGCATGCTGCCATTTGCGCCGCGACAGCTTCCTCAGGCAAATTCATTGAAGGAATTGAAGGGCTTTGCAGTGATCAAGCTGCATGCTTTCCATTTTGAGCAGCTCCTTAACATGATTTAAATGAGTTGTAAATAGTTCAGCGAACATCAAGGAACATCAGCATAACCAGAGCGCACGACCAGAACAACATCAGGTCACGAGGTGGCCGCATGATGTGCCAGGTTGGTGAGCTGGGCCAGCGCCCCCCTGATTCGGAAGAACGTCGCTGGATTGAAGCAGCAGTGCGGGAGCCTGTTGGAACACGTTGGAATGCAATTTCACAGGTGACAGATCAGACTGAATATGGCGACTATGGACAAAGTGCAGAGTGACCAGAAGGTGTCATGGGCTTAGGTGAAGGTGCACCGAGATGGATGATGCCAGTTCTGGGATTCTGCACGTAGCATCACAATTTCCTGGACGCAAGTAGAGCCGTTACACAGAGGAGCCTTTACGCACAGACGCGTTTACACAGAGAAGTCTTTACACAGAGGAGCTTTTGCACACAGAACCTTGTACACACAGACGCGCTCACACACAGAAGGTTTTACAAACAGACAACTTTACGGTACACAGAACTTTTACAGACATAGAGCAGCTTTTACGCAGCGAAGCTTGTACACAGCGGGGAGCTTTTATACACAGAAGCTTTTACAGAGGGATTTTTATACATACACACAGAAACTTTTACACACAGAAGCTTTTACACACAGAAGCTTTTATATACACAAAAAACCTTTTACACAAAGAAGCTTTTACACACAGACGGGTTTACACAGAGGAGTCTTTACACACGGAGGCGTTTACACAGGAAAGCTTTTACACACAGAAGCTTTTACACAGAGTAGTTTTTACACAGAGAAATCTTTACACGAAGAAGTCTTGACACACAGAAGCTTGCACACACAGAGGCTTGTACACAGAGAAGCCTTTTGCACAGAGCAGCTTTTTCACAGAGGAGCTTTTACACAGAGGAACTTTTACACAGAGAAGCTTTTACACACAGAAGCTTTTACACAAACAAAACCTTAACACAGAGGAGCTTTTACAGACAGAAGCTGGTACGCGAAGAAACTTTCACAAACAGACATTTTTACAAACAGAAACTTTTACGCACACAGGACGTTTTACACAGAAGCTTTTACGCAAAAAACTCTACACAAGCTTTTACGCAAAGAAACTTTTACACGCAGAAACTTTTACACACAGAAACTTTTACACACAGAAGTTTTCTCAAAAAAAACGCTTGCACAGAGGAACTTTTACACAGAAACTTGCACGCACAGACGCGTTTACACAGCTTTTACGCATAGAAACTTTTTCACAGAGAAGTCTTTACACCCATCTTTCATCATGTCATGTCGCATGTGTCATGATCATTCTGTCACCTTCATATCTTCGTTTTCATGTTCTTTTGGTCAACTCCCTCCGTCGTTTAGTTTTCATTTCGCATGGTGTTCTGTCCGTCCACGCTTCGTCCTCGCTCCCTCTGCGGCAAAGCAAACTAAACGAGAGCCCAGGAATAGATAGCGACTAGAAAGATGGGATAGAGCTAATTACATTAGCAGAAATAGCGACTAGAAGAATGTAGACGTAGCTGACACAGCATGCTGTGGTGAATTGTGGCCCCTGATACCATCAGTGCGCACGATGTTTCAGGAAAGATCTTACACCGATTTCGTGCAGAGCACTGCTGCCCACACCATAGTTTTTTGAAAAAAAGTATGTTGTGCGCCGTCTTGCTTTTGGGTTCTCTGGCCCACCTTGTTTGATATTTCTGTTATTTCTGTGTGATGTAATTTGTTGAGATCCCGCCTCCATCTTTTTGTTTCGTTTTGCTTGGACTCTGCATCAGTCATGAATGTTCTTGTGCTGTTTTGGTTTGCTTTGGTTCCCTTTAGTTTGCTTCATTTGGAATTGACCGTTTTTTGCCTATGTACATTTCGTGTCAAACAATGGAAACAGCAGACTACCTCAAGAAAAGAACGCAGTATGAAACCACCAACATTTTCTACGAGAAAAGGTTTGGCCAAGTCGTGGTCTAGTAATTTTTGGACAGGGGCGGCTTTTGAACAAACTTTTGCAGAGCTCTTTGGCCTCACCTTTGGGACCGGCCAGAATGTGCTTCATTTGGATTCATTTGGCGCATTTCGCGAAAAGTGTCTGACGAAGAAAATTAAAACCTTGGAGGGTGCACGCCTACGGGAGAGGGGCTGAGTGGCTTAAAAAGATGCTTCTGGATGAGGTGCAACAGGTGCAGAAAGAGAGGATGCTTGTTCGACAACATTTTTGTAGCAAAGGATGTTCCATCTTGTTTGGACTTGCTGAAAATGACGGGGGGATTTTGTAGCAAAGGTTTTTTTTTCTTTTGAAGGCTTGTTACAAGTGAAATTGGCATTTTGTGGCAAAGGATTCGTCCTTTTTGGAGGCTTGTGAAAATCGAAGTGGGCATTTTGTAGCCAAGGCCATTTGGTGAAAAAGTGGAGCTCAGCAACCTCATTCTATAGCCCTGGGTTTGTGAATAGTGTTTGTGAGCTAAAAAATTAAGGTCACAACGTTTCCCCTGAAATTCGATGGAGGATATAGATAAAAATGTCAATAGATAAATTCATAGATGAATGAAGCAAAATAAATGAATAAATAGTTAAATAGATAATAGATATACATACATATATATATAATATAATGTTAAATATTAACAGTTTGCGAAGAGTTGCGCGTTGGTTGTGGTTGAGTGCCAGCTTTGGACAGTTAAAGGTGCGACGGATGTTCCTCTTGCTCAGCCCTGCCAACTACGAGGACGAGCTGGGGCCAAGGGGAAATTTATTTAGTGGTCCTAATTGCGTTGGCGTGACCTAGAATGGTCAACGTGCCTTATGGCGCTTAGTATCAGGGCATAGGAAAAGATATGGCTGGTTTGGAAACGATGGCAAGGACGGCTAGCATCAAAAATCAAGCAGAATCAGCAAAACCTGGCAGCATGAAAGTGCACCAGGTGAAAGACATTGACGGATTGGAAGACAATTTCACTGGTTGATACGGTTGATATATCTCCTACTTCGAAACTCTTCGAAGCTGCCAGGCGCTGATGGAGACATTCAGAGAGTGGAAGCTGCCAGCTTCCACAGTGATAGTGAAACAGGCGCAAGCTGTGGGAGGTCGCGGTATCGCTTGCAACCGCGAAATTTGCATCACTTACAACCGCGCGATTTGCATCGCTCACACTGCCATCATGGAATCATCATCATCACCACCATCACCACCATCATCATCATCATCATCATCATCATCATCACTGTGTACTTCCTGTGTGAAGCAAAAAACCCTAAAGGGGTCGTACCTGTGTACTTCCTGTGTGAAGCAAAGAAACCCTAAAGGGGTCGTACCTGTGTACTTCCTGTGCGAAGCAAAGAAACCCTAAAGGGGTCGTACCTGTGTACTTCCTGTGTGAAGCAAAGAAACCCTAAAGGGGTCGTACCTGTGTACTTCCTGTGTGAAGCAAAGAAACCCTAAAGGGTCGTACCTGTGAACTTCCTGTGTGAAGCAAAGAACCCTAAAGGGGTCGTACTTGTGTGCTTCCTGTGTGAAGCAAACCCTAGAACAGGATTGGTGGTGTAAGTGATGCGAATCTGGTGGTTGTAAATGGTGGGTGTAAGTGCTGCGCTGGGTGTAAGTGATGCGAATCTGGTGGGTGTAAGTGAGTCTCCTAGCATCTCCTACCGCTGTGGGAGGTGATGGTCAGCGAGAATCTGATTTCATGTGGTGTAAAGAAGAGATTCGTTGAATGCGTGCTAACGGTGCTGAAAGCGTCATTCCCATTGATGGCTACTATCCTCAAGCCTGCGATCGAATATGTCCTATTGTAACGTGTTGCAATGCTTTGTGCATGTGCCAAATTGAGGACTTACCCTCAGCTTCAACTCCTGACAGCCACCGCCAGGGAACACCTATTTCAACGGGCCCGAGCTTGTGCGTGCTGCTGGCCCCTTTCTTGCAAGACATTGCAAGACTTCTACATTTACTTTATTTCGCTAAGACATCACAAGTGAGTCACAACCGATTTATCCTGGTGCTTTAATCGCAAACAATCACATACTTGTGACTTGCCGAGGATGGCGTGATAGATGTGCTCCACTGTCCAACTGGCGCAGATGCGAGTGAGAAGGTTTGCACCTACGATCGCTGTGGCCAATGCTTTGGTGAGCTGGAGCTCTTCTATGGAAAGCCAGCAGGAGTTGAGTGGACATATTGGCCTGAGTTAGCGGACTGAGTTAGTGGATTAGTGGACTGAGTGAAGTTGAGTCCCGAGGCGTTGTGAATTCGCACCGAGGCTGTGCATGAGGTAGAAGCATTCCAAGGTTCGCTTCTCTTCTATCAAAGTTTCAAACATATAGGCTATGAACTGAATATATACATGTATCAATACACATGCCGACTAAGTTTCCAATGAAGAGTTCTATACTCATCAGCCTGCTATGGCAGGACATGGAAGTGGACGCAAGTGTCTTGCCCAAGATAAGATGTTTTGATTCCCCTGCATTGTGCGGCTAAGTGTGCCCCAGGGCATGTGACAGCGTTTCCAACTGAGCCACAGCAGATGCTTTTCAAGTACAAGCAGATAGTAGCAGTTTGATCCAGCTTGTAGTTCTTGTGCCACTGCACAGGCTTCATTGGGCTACCATTGAGACGCGCACAGCAGCAACGCTTTGGACAGTGGCTCCCGCCTCATGAGGCAGAGACTTCCATTTGAATGGACTGATTTCTTGTATTTCCTTTTCAAGTGATCCGCCAGAGGACTTTTCCCCACTAAAGATAGAACTGATAGAGGCAGAAATGGGCAGAGTGCTTCTTAGCTTGCTAATCCCCCGCAGGTCAGCTACTGGAAGATATCTGAGCCGAAAGTTTCACCGCCAGGTGAGGACAGCCTCGCACAAAATGTGCGAGGCAGCAACGGAGAACGGAAAGATGTGAGGGCGTTCCACTATATCTCAGTTGGGAAGGGCAATGGCAACAATGTCCAAGTATGGCAATCCTTTTGCAGACTGGGATTGTTTTTACTCGTTCACTGTGACGCCCATGTGCGCCATAAGGCCTGGGAATGTACAGCCAGAGGTTGAGGCCCCTGCAAATGTCGCGCAGACACTGGCTGACTCACTGATTTGAATTTCTGACATGACAATCCTTTATCTTTGCTCTAAAGCAATGAATATCGGGGTCACATTGTGCATGTTTGTTTTCAGAATGACATTTCTTACAAGTAATCAGCTTGGTTTCGATCCTGCTACGCGGACACAGAAGCAGGCGAGCGGCACTGCGGTGGCAGAGGAGGAAACGAAAGAGAAGGATGCTGATGCTGATGTAAAGCAACCGGCAAAAGAGGAGACACACGTGGCAGACAGTGAGACAGTGGCAGAGATGGAGGGCACAGGATTTTGTTTCCCAGCGTTTCTCAGTTCTGTTTGTGCGGATGCATAGAGGATGAGGACTCCGAGAGTGTCGAGGAGATCCCAAAGGCCATTTATTTGCACATGTTTGTTTGTGTTTGTATCATTTTGCATCAGAATTCGGCCGGTTGGCGCCCTGGTTTCTGTGTTTGTGGCTTTTGGTGCTTTACATGGCAGGTGTTCTCCTTCTTCAACTTGCCGCCTAGCAGTGAAGAACTGGGTGATGAGGTTGTGCACGGGCCTTGGGTTACCCAATAATGTAATCATGATGATAGGAATCATGTAGCTGCTCACAGATTCTGTTCTACTGTCATCCGCAACAACTCCACAGGGACAATGCCATCAGCGTCATCTTGAACACAGACTTTCCAGCGCTGGCGGCCTTCCTGGGAGTGCCGGTGAGCGACGACAAAATGCCCCCAGTCGATGAGGCGGGGGACAAGTGGCCGCATGCCACAGAGTTGGATGCCAGATGAGTTGTCAGCTGTGGCTTGGATATGACTTGCAAGATTTCTTTGCTCTCCTGCAGGAAAAGCTGACAGTTTCATATGACTCATGTAGAATTTTGGCGGGATGATCTACATGGATGAGTGCTTGTTTGTCAGGTGCGTGGCATTTTGGGCCTCGAAACGGAAGAGTGGCGAGCTCAGCAACCTAAGGAGCGAGCCTTTCTTCTTCCTTCTCGTCCTCCTTCTTCTCCTTCGCCCTAGCCAAAGCGTAGCGGCTTGATTTCATCACCCATATCGCTTGCTGGATTCAAAAAGTACAATGCTAGGATATGGCATGGTGCAAGCGCGGATTAGAAAATGGATGGTCGTGAGAAACTCGTCAGGGCATTCTATGAAGCATACACTGGAATTCTCAGCCCGGCTAGAAGCAGTATTGGCTGGCACATCTGGCACATGCTGGAAGCTCTGGCCGAGGATGAAATCACTCTTTCAGGAGAACTCTGTCTGGACCTGGAGATGCTTCGCGTGGCTTTTGCATCTTTTGCCAAGTCAATCGTCAGGATTTGTAGCATTTTCTCCCCATCTTCATTATCTTCTCCTTATTTCCCTCTTCAGGCTGCATTCGCTCAATGCAAAGGAAATATGCCTGGAAGGTACGGTACCAGAAGAACATTGAACAAAGTAAAACGTAAGGTGATATAGCCCACACCGGTAGACACTTTGATTTAGATTTCGGCAGACATTCGATGCCTTCAGATTTTCATCCCCAGTCTCCAAAGTTCAAACTGCAGAAGGTGGGAAGCTGCCCGCGAACTGCAGCCACTTTCGGCCCATTACAGGGGAGGCCACAAGAGCGAGCCTGTCGCGCGCCTTAAAGGCTGCGGCAACTTCTCCCTGCTGCGACAGGTGCGGAAGGGCAACTGAATGAAAGCTACCGAAAGCACTTTTTTCACCTCTATTTGATTGGTTGATTCTCACTTTGGGGAGTCTTCATTCTCATTTGCTTCTCTGACTTTATTTGGAACACTGCCGTCTTGATATGGAATCTGGGTTGAAAACTACTTGCAATTTGCGCCGCTTCCTGCCCAAGGGCTTGAGCTGTGCCTCGGCCCTGAGTTACTCTGCCATGATCGCCGTTCCCGTGCGGCCACAGGGATTTGCCACCATCCCTCGACGTGTCAATCTGGCATCGCACCCACCGCACCCCCAGCAGAAAAGTGCTGCACCCGGGGCACCCGCTGCATCCAGTTTTCCTTTTTTGGGCTTGGCAGCGGCTGCTATTGCCGTCCCCGGGCGACGCACGCAGCGCGCAGCGGAGATTGTGGATGTGGAGCCAGTGAAGCCTATGGATACTCCCCAGGTGAAAGCCGCACTGGAGGTGGTTGAAGCTGCACTCAGCCAGGCTTTGAGGAATGGGGTGCCTGTGCGTAATCAGGTCATGGAATACAAGGCCGATCCCATGCGATCGCCCCTGGCGAACTGCGGCATTCCGGCCTTGGCACCAGCTGGGAAAAAAGCCGCTGAGCTTTTGATACAGGGCCTTGTAGCCAAAGTAGACCAAGACTCTGCTGAGGTTGCTGCCGCAGTGCTTTGCCTGATGCCCCTTGCTTTGAGAAGTTTACAATCTTCTTTGAGACCTTAAGGTTGTTTTTGAAGATGGCAGGTTCCTTGCAGGTTGCAAATATTTGATAGTTTTGAAGCTGTTTGAGCGCATTCCTTGAAGATGCTTGAAGGGAAAAAAATCCTTGCAGTGCTGAGGTTAGGTGGCCTTGATGAGGCTCACAATCTCATCACGCCACACTCATGGAGTGCGCCAACGACCTTTGGGGGATTGCCGAAGCTGCGAAGCACGGCGTCACGCGAGGCAAAATATTGCCATGTGATTGTGCACCGCATGGAGGGTGAAAACCTGGGAGAGTTTGGCTCTGGTTTCAATAACAGCAATTATTGGTTAGGCCAGGCCTTCTACCATTCCAGAGGCATGTCTGAGCATCCAATCTTTCCTCATCTCCGACGAGATGTAGAGGATTTTGTTGGAGATTGTCATGATGCACGCTGCCTTTTGAGAACAATGGGGCCAAAATGGGAGCCCAAGTTGTTCAACAACTTGTGTGAGGATGCACTCCTGACAGAAGACCCAGAGTTGCTGGAGCCTCTTGTTTGAATCTTGAGCTGCCAGTTTCTGTTTTTACTCGCTTTTTTGCTATATAGTAGGATGTGGGCAAAACGCTTTCAAATGTTTCATAAATCAAGGAGGAGTCATACTTCTCGTATTGCCTTGGGCTGTGGATGCAAACTTGCGATCAACAAGTTTGCAAGTTGCCGACCAAGGTTTTGCAAGAAAGTGCAGACTCGAGAGTTGCAACTGCTCTTCGAACACATCATGACTGCGGGTGAGGAATCCCAGTCTTAGGAGCCGAGCAGTCGAGAGTCGAGCCTGGACAAATGTCCAGTGAAATGACCGTGTCACTGCGTCCGAGAAACTCAGTGGGAGCAGCGAGAAATGTGGGCGCTGACACGTCTAAGACCGTCTATGTCTATGTTTGTAGAGTGCTGCGCGATTTTGCAACATTCATCCAATCAGATGGGATCATATTGGATTATAAGAGAGAGAAATCAGTGAAGCCTGGACATGGATGTCTGTATTGTCTGACAGTGTCGGCCTTCTTCAAACGGCTTTGTTTATCCCCAAACGGTGCCAAGAGTCGGCCTTTCCAATGATAGCCAAGCCGCTTGTAGTTCCCACAATTCTTCTTAGAAGCCTTCATTTCAACCTCCAGGCGTTTGAGAGATGGCGCCGGGCAAGGCAGGAAAGTTCCATGTCGTTTGTGTCAGGTCATTGGTTGATCAGGTTGGGCTTTAAGTTTCAGATGGATCGAGCTGATGCATGTGATGCATGGACTCTTGGATACACCTGATTCGCGATTTTGAGACATTGCGAAGGCTTGTTTCTTTTGGTTTGGGGTTGGACGAGGACCCATGACAATGAGCACTTTTAGGTTGGTGACTTTGGTGAGTCAGCTTCTCCAGCAGCTGCAGCTGTCAGGTATCGGAACATGAGTCTCCTCCAGACACGCCGACTATCAATCCGGAGAAGCACATCGTTGAGGCCCTTCTCCTTTGTTACAGTGGATGTTCACCTCCTTTCTGCTCCTTACGTCCTGCCTGCTCACCATATTGCTCACTGAGGTTTACAACTGGAACCTAGACCACGAGCATCTTGGTAGAATTGCGAGGGCTACAGCGGCTACACTGTTCCTCTAAGGTGATGTGCAGAAGGTCCTGGGATTGAGATCAAATAATATCAAATATATCAAAGATTCATGTTGAATAAACATGAATAAACAATCTGTATCTGTGCCATTGTAAGGTTCAATAACCTCTTGGCAGCCGCCTCCGGGGATGCCAGTGGCAACGCGATCCTCGCAATTGACATGGAATTCCCAGGCTTCCTTCGTCAGGACAGCGGGTCTGAACAAACAAACTTCTGTCCCAAACACGGACAGGCAGCCCATATGCATGAATATCACACAAGTACACATGCATGCAATTGAATGCAAACGCACGTACAAACAAATACACACAGATGCAAACATAATCCCTTCCCCTAATCCTAAATAATTAGTATTCAAGCCTTCCTACAAGCCTTTGGTTTGGGTACTTACATACCCGTACGTACGTACGTTCGTACGTACAAACAAGCAAGCAAGCAAGCAAGCACACAGACACACAAACACAAAAAAACCAAAAAAACAAAACAAACCAAAACAAACCCAAACAAACCCAAACAAACCCAAACAAACAAACAAAACAAACAAACAAAACAAACAAACAACCAAACAGCCAAACAACCAAACAACCAAACAACCAAACAACCAAACAACCAAACAACCATACAACCATACAACCATACAACCATCCATCCATCCATCCAGACAGACAGACATACATACATACAGACATACATACATACACACATACATACATACATACAGACAGACAGACATACATACATACATGAGTCCGGACTCCGGATCCCTGGCCCCCCCCCAATGGTATGGTCCCCCAAGCTCGCTCTCGGGAACACGGGACACGGGACCATACATACATGCATGCATGCATGCATCCATCCATACATCCATCCATCCATCCATCCATCCATACATACATACACACACAGACAGACATACATACCTATCTACCTACCTACCTACCTACCTACGTACCTACGTACCTACGTACCTACGTACCTACGTACCTACGTACCTACTTACCTACGTACCTACGTACCTACGTACCTACGTACCTACGTACCTACGTGTCTACGTGTACCTCTACGTACCTACGTATACCTACGTATACCTACGTATACCTACGTACCTCTACGTACCTCTACGTACCTCTACGTACCTCTACGTACCTCTACGTACCTCTACGTACCTCTACGTACCTCTACGTACCTCTACGTACCTCTACGTACCTCTACGTACCTCTACGTACCTCTACGTACCTCTACGTACCTCTACGTACCTACATACATACCTACATACCTACATACCTACATACCTACATACCTACATACCCATACATACCTACATACCCATGCATACCTACATACCCATGCATACCTACATACCCATGCATACCTACATACCCATGCATACATACATACATACCTACCTACCTACATACATACATACATACATACATACCAACATACATACCAATATACCAAAATACCAACATACCACCACCACAGGCCACAGGGGGGGGGGACCAGAAGAACCATACCACCATCCCAGGCCACGGGGGGGGGGGACCATGGGGGGGGCTTGGGAGTCCTGGGTCATACATACATATGCGTTCATATAGATAGATTTACATAAATTTACATAGACATACATGTGCACATACACATACACATACACATACATACACATACAAACACAATACACGTACAGACAGAGGCCTTAGGTTCCTTCGGTTCCATTTCATTCCATCACACTACATGCATGACATTACATTGCATTGCCTTACGCAGTATTACATTCCTTTCCATTCCAACACATTCCATGACGTTACATTGCAGGGCAATGCATTGCATTGCAAACATAGCATTCGTAGCATACGTAGCATACATGGCATAGAGCATGCATTATACACTACATGCATCGCATACGTTATATGCATCACATACATACATTACATACATCTATACACTACATGCATCGCATACGTTATATGCATCACATACATACATTACATACATTACACCCATACATTCTCCATACGTGTATGCATGCATGCGTGCGTGCATGCATGTGTGCAATGGCATACAGCAGACAATGCATAGAAACAAACAAGCAAAGAAACAAAGGAACAAAGAAAGACAGACACAAAAAACAAAGAAACCGAGAAACAAACAAACAAAGAAACGGGCAAACATTGATGTATACATACGAACGAACGAACAAACAAAAAACAAACAATTTTTCCATACCATACCTTACCGGACCGTACCATACTGTGTACCGCACCGTACCACACCAACACGTACTACACGTACCACATATACCACACATACCATACATAACATACCGTACATACCATGCATACCCTACATACCAGACATACCACAGAAACCATACATGCAACACACACGCACCATACACCCCATACATGCCATTCATGCCATACATACCACACATACCATACGCAACATAACCATCATACACTACGTACATTACATGCGTGACACGTTACATGCGTTCCACACATTACAAACATTACGTGCACACATACCATATATATACCATACATACCATACATGCCATACACACCATACACTACGCACGTGCATTACGCGCACACATGCATTATATACATCACATACATGTCATTTCATATATTACATTTATAGGTAAATGTGTGGGTGGATGGATGGATGGACGGACGGGCGGATGCATGGATGGACAGACAGATACATAGATACGTAGACGCATAGATATAGTACATAGATACATCGATAGGTAGATAGATAGATAGATAGATAGATAGATAGATATATAGATAGATAGAAAAATATTTGCATACATACCGAAAATGCGAAGCAAAGCAAAAGACAGGCAATGCAAAACAATGCAACACATTACAAAACAAAAGCAATACACATACAATTACTAGGCATACAAAACAATGCTACAACACGCATACAAATACAGGACAAACAACTAAAAATAAAATACGATGTAATACCGTGCCATGCCATACCGTACCATACCATCACACACACACAACTTACATCACTTTACATCACTTTACATCACATCACATCGCATCACAACCCATCACATCACATTGCATCACATCGCATCACATCGCATCACAGCATATCTCATTACATGAGATAACCTTTGCATATACACATGTCCATCCATGCATCATCCATGCATCACCCATGCATCATCCATGCATCATCCATTCAAACATTACACACGCATCCGCATATTTTTACATAATACTATATATATAACTTTTCATATATAATGTATGATGTACAATATAGAATATATAACATTTTTTGGGTGGATGTATGTATGTAACGTAATGTAACGTAACGTAACGTAATGTAATGTATTCATGTATGTATGCATCTATGTATGTAATGTAATGTCACGTCATGTAATGTCATGCAATATAATGCAATGTCATATGTTGTAATGTAATAGAATGTAATGTATTCATGTATGTATTCATGTATGTATGCACCTATGTATGTAATGTAGTGTAATGTCCTGTCCTGTCATGTCATGTAATGTAATGTCATGTCATATAATGTAGTGTAATGTAATGTAATGTAATGTAATGTATGTATTCATATATTTTACATGCGCGAATGCATGCGTGTGCACATGGTCTCCCACGCGTGATAACATCGGACTGCTGCGTTTGCCCTGCACTTTGCAACCGTCCATGCGGTTTGACTGCCAGGAACCACGTAGTGGTGCTCGAGCTCAAAGGTACCAAGCCCTGCGTCTTCTTCTGAGAAACCAATCCCATCATCTCATTCACATTTACTTATTGTCGGAGACAGTTTTGATGATTTTTTGCGTATTAGTTGTTTGGAATCCAATGCGAAATTGCAAAACATTTGCTTCTGACGCTTTTCCTAGGCGAGAACGTGGACCGACTGCGTCTGATTCAGTTGGGTGCTGCGGTGGCGGATGCAGATGGCACAGTGCGGGGTGCCTGGAGCTTCAATCTGAAGTGCCTTGGCAAACAGAAACGGAAAAACGAGGCAAAACCGAGGCAGATCAAGATTAGATGAAAATTAATCCAGTTTTGCCATAGTTTACTCGACCTTGCAGTGAAGCTATTGTTGTTGTTGATTTTCCGGTGTGTGTTTTCTTTGGTAGAAAAAATATGGAAGTCGCTCAGGTTTGACATCGACGCTGCTCTCCTGCAATCAGCATCACTTAACCCGTCATGTCTTTGCATTGCGCTGCCCTTCAGCCGACACGACATACGAACTACCTCTGTGAGAGCGCGCGTGCGTGAGAGAGAGAGAGAGAGAGAGAGCTGGAGGGGGGCAAGTGATGAAAGCGCGCAATCACCCTGAATCACCCTCAGGTTGATCTCCAATCGGAGAAGTCAATGGCATTCCTGCGAGCAGTGTGATTCTTGGGTGATGCCTCATGCGCTTTTTGCGTAGGCCTGCTGAGAATGTCAGCTTTGCCGACGAACCTGTCAGCGGTCATAGTGACTCCCTGATGAATCCTGGGAGAAGGTTTTGATTGGATCATTCATTAAAGGTAGGTTCCGTCCTAAAGGGCTTTTACAGTTTTATACAATAGTTCTTGGATTCATACATCGTCATCCGCGTGCTATTTGGTCGGGAATATTTTGTTGCGACCAAGAAGAGACGCATTTTACCAAGGCTGGACTCGACTTTTCACGCCACAAAAAGGAGGGCATTGATCCAGGCAAAGTGGACCAAAAAGACGTTTGTATCATCAGTCAGGCTCAGATTCTTTGTCAAAACCGCCTACCCAAGCCCGAAACGCACAAGCAGATTCATGCAGCAGGCATTCTGGGCCGGAAGTTGGCGAACTCATCCTTGGTGGGGCAGCGTGCCCCGAATTGGGTGACCTTCGCAGGCCGCTCCCAGAGGAATGTGGATGAATGTGGTGCCAGAATGTGCCAGATACAAATTATGGAGAAACCGTTGAGAAACCATGAGACACCTGGCGACTGTTTTAGGATGTTTTATGTGGCGGCATGAGGTGTGGAGTAAGACTAAGATTTGCAAGCCTCCATGGTGTTGCACACGGGTGGGCCATGAAGATCCATGAGGCATAACCTCGTAATGTAAATAATCTAACGACTTCGCCACTTCCTTCATGAAGCCAATCTTGTTGACAAAGGAGTTGACAGTGTTGATCTGAGTCTTGTCCCAGGGGCGTATGATTTGGCCTACCTTCTGAAGCTGTGGCCTCAGCATGGCCTCAGCGCTTCCCCTCAAAACACTGTCTGCCAAGTCCAAGCCAGCTGGATTGTGCGACATTGTGCGCATCCGGAAATGACTTCAACCTGTTGATATGGGATTCTTGTTCCTGAGGCTATTAACAAATGGTCAGCCCTTACCACGTGATGCCCACTCCTTTGATGTGCAGCTTGGCATGTACTGTGCGGGTGCTCAGTGATGAAGGCGCTTAAAATGATGGCCAGGACTGATGGGCTGGGAGAAAAGGTGTGAGATATTATGACTCGAGGTTTATGAATGGTTTATGAGATTTGTAGACTTGACGATGCTTGACGATGCTTGACGTTTGGGTGGGTTCCAACAAAGTCCGTTTTTGGCTTCTGCGTGACTTTGCTGCTCTCAAGGCCGACGCCACCACGAGCTCCGCGATGTCTTGCACTATGGGTCCTTGGATGCTTGGGCTGCGCGCTTGTCGGTGCCACGCTATGGTCGCTCTCATACTGCTTCTCTTCTGCAAGGATGAAACAACTGGATTGCAAGACTCTAAGACGCATCTTCCAACACCTTCCAATGCCCATTATGATTATTAGAGATTTATATAGTCTCAAAATGTGTTGAACTGCTTTGATGCTTTCACTTTGCGGGATTTGGTTGGCCTGGCCTCCATGGGCTGGGCAACTATGACTGTGAGAATTTCTGGCCGATTCTAAGACTTGCATAGCCTTTACGGAATTGCTTGAGGCTGGAAGTGATGCCCTACTGACCCTGAACCTCTTCCTGTTTATCATGAGTAACAACTGCATGGCACCTAGCTTTTGGCATCGCATTTTGTCAATTCTTTCCTTTGCACGTCGAGGATTGCAAAGATATCAGAAAGGCTGACTCAACGTACTCACTGCTCTACTGTCCACGTGATGAGCTGAGGTGCCCAAGCCGAAGACAGGACAGCTATGGATAGCGAATACTTTCTTCATCGGGGTTTTTAGCGGACTGTTTTTTTCGATCACTGTGAAACGAGCGAACGATGGATTTGTTGAAAAGTGAAGTACAAAGGCCTTCTCTCCGGGTTGCAAGGAAATGGGATGCATGGCAGTGGCAAGAGCAGTGGGAGAACGAATGCATCTAGACTGCATTGAATCAAACGAAGACTAAAGCTCTCTGGCCCTTAGCCATTCCAACGTTATGACCGCCATGGATTTGAGCCTGGCTTTGCTTTAAGACCCTCACGCACGGGGCGAAGAAAGTACAATAGGTGTACTGATGCTACGATTGTGTGTTGAGTATATTGGCATCAAAAAGATCGGATTTTGATGGTCTTGTGAGGTTGGGAGATGACGATTCAGCAAGCAAGGCCTGAGCCACCATAAAACTTTAGACCTTTCCCAGCTGTGACATCATGCGTGCCAACCGGCAGGTGGCAGGCCGCCTGGCAGTACCAAGCCAGCCTTCCTTTCTATGGTTTGCCCGAGTTCCAAGAATGAAAGCTTGGACATGGGCCAAATTGATGTTGAATGTATGCCTGAACACCCTTTGGACAGTGCCCTTCTAAGCCCACATCGCCTACATAGCGCCCATAGCCAAGATCTCGTATGATCTCGTCCTTCCCTGAGGTCGACACAAGCACCGGCACCGTGGCCAGCATGAGCCTTGAAACATGAAGGTTTCTGGCAAACGTCCTACAAACAAAACAGGTGTGAAGAAGATTTTCACCTTATTTTGACACATACATGCATACCATGCATACCTTGCATACTATGCATACCATGCATACTATGCATACCATGCATACTATGCATACCATGCATACCATCCATCCGTTCTTCCGTCCATCCATCGATCCTTCCATCCATCCACCCATCCATCCATAGATACATGCAGTATACACACAGTCTACATACAGCCTACATAACGTACAGTCTATGTACAGTATACGCACGGTATTCATGTAGCATACATACAGTGTACATACGGTGTACATACATTGATACAATTTGATACATACATAATGCATATGCATATGCACATGCATATCCATGTGCATATGCATATGCATATGCGTCTGCCTACCTACCTACCTACCTACCTACATGCATACATACATACATGCATGCATGCATACATACATACATACATACATACATACATGTATACATGTCTACATGTCTATGAACGCACGCACCCACACACACAAACACACACACACACACAGATAGATAGATAGATAGATAGATAGATAGATAGATAGATAGATAGATAGATAGATATATTTATAATATAGTAACACGCAGTTACATATACCTGCAAAAATGCATACTTATATACGCCCTCAGCCTTAGCTGAACCTTCGGGATTGCTAAGGAGAGAGAGAGAGAGAGAGAGAGAGAGAGGGCGAGGCATACATTTATGAATTCATTCATTCATTCAGTCAGTCAGTCAGTCATCCATCCATCCATCCATCCATCCATCCACTCATTCATTCATTGATTCATTGATTCATTGTTTGATTCATTGATTGATTCATTGATTCATGAATTCATTGATTCATCGATTCATTATTTTGTTCATCCATTCAACTATTCTTATTCATTTTTATGTACGCACGAACATGCATGCATACGTGCAGACATGCACGCACGCATTTATTTATTTGTTTACTTATTTATTTGTAGACCCATACGCACACACAGATATATGTATAGATATATATATATATATACACGCGTGCATACCATTGCTTCACATCACATTGCATTTCATTTCTTTGCATCACATTAGATTAGTTTAGATTACTGTAGATTCTAGATTCGATTACATACACGCATTGCGGGCACACGTGACACGACATGACATGACACGACATGACATGACATGAAATAAAAAAACACAAAAAACACACATACAGTACCTATCACGTACCATACACCATACCATACCACACCATACCATGCCATGCCATACCATTCCGTTCCATTCCAATTCCTCACTACTATTACACTACACTACCATTGCATGATAGTACCATACATACATTCGTCCATCCATCCATCCATCCGTCCATCCATACCTACCTACCTACGTACGTACATACAGACAGTACATCTCTCTCTCTCTCTCTTTCTCTCTCTCTCTCCCTCCCTCCCTCCCTCCCTCCCTCTCTCTCTCTCTCTCCCTCCCCCCACATGTTTTTTTTGGATGACAACCCCGGTGATGACACACCCTGAGGCCTTCTCTTCACCTGTGCCAGCACTGCATGCTGGACTGCCGTGCCTCACTTAGAGATCGGATGAGAATTTGAACAGTGCCATCCAGGGGCTTTTGCAGAATACAGAGGCCTCTCTGATTTTTGATGTGGGGCTAGGGAATTCAGCATCTCCGGGGCCAACTGAAGTCCATGTGTATCCATTTGAATGTGTAAGGATGCCGGCAGCAACATTTTGGTGCCTTGCCAGCAAGTGAAGCGCCAGTTGGCCTGGCTTACAGCGCACCTCGGGGCATCATCCGGGTTCATGTGGTATGTAGAGGATTGTTATGCAATGGAAATCATGTAGTGCAATTTAACGTGTTGGACCCTCCTGTAGTGAAACGCGATCAGTCTTAGACTATGATGATGCAGGCTATTCGAATTGCACACAGAGCCAAGTGTTTCCCTTTTGCTAGTCCTAGATGCAGCATTGCAAACAGCAGGGGTCGCACGCTATATCTAGACACTGTATCTGGTTTAAAAGAGATCTCAGGTGCAAGTGCAAAAGTGGAAAAAGGGTCCGCATTTCGTGTACCATCGGGGGAATATCACATAATCACCCTGCTCGATTTTTCCCCAACAGCGTAAGCTTGGGGTCTTCAGCCATAGTAAAGGTTCCGGAGCAGGTCGGAGCAGCCAAATCCGCACGGCGCAAGGTTGGGAACCGGGTTCCCAGGAAGAGGTTCCCAAGCAAGGTTTCCAAGCAAGGTTCCCAGGAAGTAAGGTTCCCAAGAGGTTCCCAGGAACAGCCCAAGCAAGGGTTCCCAGCAAGAGGTTCCCCAGGAACAGGTTCCCAAGCAAGGTTCCCAAGCAAGGTTCCCAGGAAGAGGTCCCCAGCAAGGTTCCCAAGCAAGGTTCCCAGGCAAGGTTACCAGGAACAGATTCCCAAGCAAGGGTTCCCAGCAAGAGGTTCCCAAGCAGGGTTTCCAGGAAGAGGTTACCAAGGAGGAAGTTCCCAGGCAAGGTTCAGGATGTAATGACGTAGATGATGATGATGTAGGTAATGTATGTGTAGATGTGTTGTAGATAAAGCATGTCATATAGATGAAGTTGATGGAAAAATGTGTAGGTGGTGTAGGTAATGTAGGTGAGACAAATGTACTGTAGGTGATGATGATGATGATGATGATGATGATGATGATGATGATGATGATGACAATGACAATGATGGTGTAGATGCAGATGTAGATCTAGAGAAGATGGTGTAGAAGATGGTATAGAAGATGTATTTGATGTAATTAGTAAGAGATGTGGATGATGTATGTTAGGTAGGTGAAGTGAAGAGTGAGGCGGACAGCAGGTCTTTGGGAAAAAACCCCTCGCACGAGCTTTGGGAATATTGGCCACAATATTGCAAACGCTTTTGGAAAAACTTTTTTTCATAAACTGTTTGTGCTGTGATTGCGCGCTGCACGCCCGACCTCTAGAGTAAGAAGGGCTGGGCAATAAACATACTTCACTCATTGCGTGTTTGGCAGCTGTTTTTGTTTCTGGCTGTTGGGGATATTCTTTGGGCTTATTTTTACAGTGAGCCTACTGCGCTAGCAACTCATACGTAGCATTTCGCGGAGGCCTGTTATTAGGCCAACAGCTTTCCGGCTGAGTTTCGCGTTTTGGTTCTATGGCCCCTTCCAAATCCTTGTGTTATACAGACCTATTCTTTGTCAACAGGCACAACAGTTAGCAGATAAGAAGGGGATCTTCCGGGATCTATCTGTGCGCAATGCTTCTGAGAGAGAACTATTTGTCACTCGACTGGACTCCACTTAAGGCCATGGGCCACCTTACAGCACCACAAACCAAGGAATTCGGCAAGCCCGTTCTCCATGCACCAGGCCTGAGATTTGTACCGTCCAGACCCGCCACAGAACGCATCTTCCTATATGTATGATTATGTATATGTTTAATTTTTGCAATATTCAGAAAGTTCTTCCCAAACTCCAAGCTTGGTTTAGCTCGAGGAACGTATTCATTGAGTAGTTGATATATTTGCATTCTTGGCTGCATCATCGCAGGATGTCAGAACCAAATTTCAGCCCCTTGGTACGCAGAGGATGGATGCATTGAGAGTAAGTTTTAATATGTTTTGATAAGGATGAAAGCAGCCGTCGCCCGATGATGTCTTTGGTCTTGAGCACACACACTTCCATATACTGTATATATATATAATATATTATTTAAATAAATAAATAAATAAACATATATATATATATATCAAGTTAACCTTTCAGCAGTTTGCCGGGTTATTTTGTTTGCAAACATCCCTAACTAACGTTTGGCGCCCTTCCAGTTTGAGCTTGTCTTTACTGTCCCCACCCCTCGCTGAGGATCTGAGTAAGGCCTGGTTGAATCTTGTCGAGACTTGCTGAGTAAAGCGGGAAAATGTCTTGCTTATGGCAGTGCGTCAAAGCACCAAGAGAATAGAAAAGAATAGAAAAGAAAAGTAGACGCAACCCACCAAGGACACAACCTTTAAAAGGCGCGCTGCCAGGCCCTAGGAATTTTGCTTTGGGGTGCTGTTGCTTACGATGGAAGGCTCGGACGGTCTTTCACACCCACCGACGTCCAAGGCACCATTTTGGTTCTGGCTAAGAAGAATGCTAAGAATGCATAAAAGTAATGCAACACAATCTCCATTTCATTCTCACTGCAGAGCGACAGTCAGCTGCAGTTGGATCAGTTGGGCGAGGGCTGTTGGTGGGTGGGAAGTACCATCCCTTGGAATACCACTTTAGGATTCTGCTCCGACTCGCCCAAAAAAAAAGCCAAGCCCACACCCGTTGGGCAGATCTGCAACGCACGCACGTAAGCATCTTGAATATTGTTTTCCAAAGAGGAACTCCTTGATATATAGATTTTCTCCTGAGGGAAACCAGCACCTCGGGATTCCCACATGCACATCTTCGTTGGTGGTTTTTGTTTCCTAGGCAGATCTGGCCATATTATATTGTTATCGTTTTTGGTGCCTTGACATAAAGTTCCGCTGCAGGCTGCAAGCTCTTCTGATCGAATTAGGCTACATAAACAGTGTCAGGAAAGTTGCTGGGGCAAAGCGTTGCAGGTCAATGCAAGAATCCAGGGTATAGCTGTTGTGATGCTGTTTGGGATTTCGTTCGATGCTCCATCTTGTTTTCGAACTTGCCAGTTGTCTCTACACTACGAGTAAGCAATACGTGGAGTGAGTCAGCTTCATCTCCCGAACATGCAAAGCTTCCCGGGAAGTGCAAGATGCTGACCATCGCAAGTGGTAGATCCGCAGCAAAGAGGAATGTTGAGAGGAGTTAGCTTCCAAGGTTTGCGAATAGGGAAGCGTGATTTGAACGTTTGAGATAGATGGTCTGGACAGATTTTGAAAGCTGTGGATCTCTGTGGCCCGCCAAACTTGCGAAGTCAGTGCTTCCACTTGCTCCTCACCAACATTTTCACACAGGGTTCCTTTCTTGGTCCTTTTGAAGGGTATGGCTAGAACATGCTAGAACTTGACCTGCGATAGCCTCAATACGGGAGGAGCACGAGGAAGGTAGTGCAGTTGACGGACAGAGGGTTTGCTTGTCCTTCGAGAGCAGCGATGCTGATACTGTTCGAATTCTTGGCAGATTGGTTTGATCACATCATAGTAGTATATAGTAATATATATATGTGATCATAGGCTCTCCGGTGACTATCAAGTGACTACACCCCCAGGAGAAACAGCAGTTATGGCGGAGCTTGCTGGGACACCTCTGAAGTTCAGCTTTCCCTCATCAACTATTCATCCGTCGATTCGTGTTTCTTGCATGGCAGTAGAACGTAGGACTTGTCAGGGCCTCAGGTGTATGCATGACATGACAGCTACTTGGATGGGGGTGATCAGAAGCTGCCAAAGCTTGGTGAAGGGGAAGGGAACCCAAGAAAGGATACCTGGCTAGGATTTGTAGACGCTTGTCGGTCCACACTTGCTAGTTTGGGACTTTGAGCGCATCGGCTAGACTTTTGTCTTTCTCAAACGCTTTGGGATCATGCCATGCCGATTTCTGCCACAATTTGCTGAGGCTGGCCTGGACTAGCAACCAGTTGATAGCACCCCAAGCTGTACATAGAGCACAGTTGCTGCACGTGCGTGCTCCAGCTTAAAGCAGTGCTACTCCAAGTGGGAGAATGCTCCCCTGAAGGATTTTTCAGCTGATGCAAAAGAGAACATGATGTTTCACAGTGGCAATCTTTTTCCCAGCTGTGAGCACGCGAGTAGCTTCAACAAGGCAAGGTTTCGCTTATGGCGGACCGCATGCCTTGACCCTGCCTGATGTTAAGATCGGAGAGGTCCATTCGAGCCAAGCATAGCCAAGCCCTTGCACGGATGCAATAAGGACAGGCAGCCGCGATGCCGCGATACAGGTGGGAGAATCCGAGGCTCCTGGCGCGGACATTGCTTGGCTTGGTGAATCTGGGTCTTTGCTACGTTTACCCGCCTTTCATGCAGTAGTCCTGGTAAACCTTCGGGTGAATGACAGTCCGCAAACAGACGTCCGCAAACAGACGTCCGCAAACAGACGTCCGCAAACAGACCTCAAGCCTTGACCCTATTCACTGAGCTCCAACTTGTCTTGGCTGCCAGAGATCTGCGGGAGAAGCGATCGCTTTAGGATACAAAGCGTGTGATAGCAAAATTCAGAGCATAATTATGAGTCATACGAGATGCAAACACATGAAATCCACCACAAAGCTCTTCACACAATCAAGAATGGCAAAGCGATGTGATCGCTGAACGTGCTCCACCCAAAGGGGGTTGGAGTGTCGATAGAAGCGGTGGGAGTGATGTTCCTTGAAACTCAGAGCTTCATATGATCTCCCTGATAGGTCACATGTGCAAATAAGCACATAGAAGGTGAGAAAGGGAGAGAGGTACTGTAATTATATGAAACATATATCATATATGATATACATAATTGTACACAATATCACACACACACACATGTATACATACATGTAACTGCATGTATATATGTATATATATATATACATGTGTTATATATATATATACACATATATATACATAATACACATATACATACATGTATATATATATATATATTATGCCTGAGAATGTAATGATGCACGCACGCGCACACACACACACGCACACACTCACACACCCATAGGTATGTGCGGACAAAAGCGCATCGTGGGAGATCGTAATATGGACAGACAAATATATTTTGTGAAACTCAACTCATATTATTCTGCACGGCTCCGTAGACCAGCAGAAGTTTGGCAAGGATTTGAGCTGCAAGAACCACTATGAACCAATCGCTGACAGATTACGTAGTGTCCCAAATAAAGAGAGGGCACACTGCTTCCATTGCCGCTTGCTGTGGCTCGGTCGACACCGGTGTGGTCGACACCTACTTGCAGATGGGCAAACAAGAAATAAAAAATGAGTCTAGAGACAAAAAGTAAAGACAGGACATTCCCGAAATGTTGACAGCGGAGAGGTGTTCTGCTCACAAGCAGGTTGGCATATTAGCCCTGGCTCCATCAGGCTAGAATTCGATTCTTTCAGCTTGTGCCTGCACAGGTGCACTCAACGGTGAGATTTCTAAGTGACCGAAAAATATCGAAAAAGGAACAGCACAAGGATGACTCTTAGATGACCGTGGGGCAGCCTAGAACAGATGTCCTGGCACGAGCATTCGTTTGTTCCCTCGCAAGTTCGGACTTTTCAATCTGGCGCGCAAAGGAGAGAACCACGCGCCGTGGTCTCTACTTGCTTGAAATGGCCATATATAGCCACATATTGCCATAAGATGTCATAATTCATTTTGAACATGCTGGTAGCGGTTCGCCCTTCCGCGTTTGAACCACTCAATGCATCTCATATTTCATGACAGACCTGGCACAAACAGATTGAAGGTAGGCAGGCAGGGTGCCCAACGTTGCAACGGGTGATTTCTCCCCAAGACTTGTTCCCCATCACTATGGCTTTCAACATTTCACCTGGGCCTTGAGGCCTTCATCATTTCAACATCAACATCACTATGGTTTCACAACATAAGATAGACAATGATAGACACACACACACGCGCCGAATCTCTTGCGAGTGTGCTTTCTTTTGTCGATTTGTCTCCAGCAGTGACGCTGCTGTCCCGCTAGTGTTGGCTGATTCCTATTAACCAACAGCTTGTAGAAGCAATGCATTGCAGCATCATTTGGCTTTTATGCATTGAACATTTGAAGCATTCTGTTGATGAAAACGTTACAATCGCCATAAAAGATGGAACAAGGGGCCTGAGTATGTGCCACAAAAATAGAAGGAAGCCAGCACAGCATTTGCGGTTTTTCTTCTGGTGGCATATTCGACCTTTGGAGAAAAAGTGTGTTGAATTACTATTTGTGCTGAAGTTGTGGTTCTTGATGGTTTGATCTGATTGGGTTTCATCTCATGTGCTGAGACATGGGCGTGCGCATGCTTTGCTGGGAACAGGGTGAATGCAGGATGGACGGAGCTTTGAAACATTTTGAAACCGAATAAGATCAATGCCGCAATGCCGCAATGCCATGATTTTGCACCCCGAAGAATGGAGTGGACGGCATGACGGCATAGCGGCATAGCATCTCCAGCCGAGCTGGTGAGACCATCCTGACATATCCTGACCATTCAGCGCCGGTCAAGGCCCAAAGCGTTGGTGGCCGAGTTTGTGCCTTCTCCGGCCGAAGGTGTGGCCGTCGATGACTTGAGTAAGGAGGAAAGATGATGAAAGATGAGGAAAGGAGGTTTGAGATATTTTGAGATATTTTGAGATATTTTGAGATATTTTGAGATGGTCTCATAGCTTTGCTCCAATCCCTAACTCCCAACCCACCTGCAGCGTGTATCAGCATGGATCAGATCAGTATTTGTCAGTCTGTCGCGGCCCATGAAGTCCTTCAATGTGAATGTTGGGTTCGGATTGAAGTGATCGCCAGCAAGATGTCCTTGGCATCCCTTGGTTGCTACGAACCTTTGTGGTCCCTATGTATTTTTGGACGTGCCAACCTCATGGACAGGTTGAAGACTGCTGAGGAGCTGTCCAGAGCTGAGCTCGCCTTGTTATTTGGGGCCATCCAATTCTATTTGGTCTTGCACGGGCATTGGAAGAAAAATAGGTGAAAAATGTGAAAGCCAAGCGAGACAGTGCACCTTGAGAATGGCACGTTGATGCTTAAGGTTGAAGCCTTTGAAGCGGCGTTGTGGGGAACCCGGTCTTCCGAGTCAGCCGGCTCTGATGTTTTGGCTTCCGGAGCTTCCGCCACAAGAAGTTGGACGTGGGCAATCAAACTTGGAGCACAAGCCAATCGGCTATTCCTGAAGTGGAGCCGCCAATGAGGTGCTGAGCACAGTCCTGCTGCAGTGGAGGTGCAGGGATGCCCGGAAATGGAATGAAGAGGATTGGTGCATGATAATTCCATTGGATCCAATGCTTCTTGAGCCCCTGCCAAGGTTCTTAGAGCCTGGCGATGAGGAGGAAGAGGAGGATGAAGTGGAGGAGGCAGATGGAGTCGACGGCAAAGCAATGATAGGTTACTTGAGAACATGTTGCTGAACGTTTGCGTCGAATTCAGGTGCTGTTGCTGTTTGTTGCAGGACAAGGTGCGAATCTTCGTCTTCCTCCAAAGGGCGCCTGGCTCGGTTTTGCCAGGGATGGGGCTGCACTGGGCTGTACAGTGGTTTTCCGGACGAGCATGAGCAAACCACACGTGCAAAGGAGGACACTCAATAGCAATGGTAGTAGCGAGCTCTTGGTTTTTTGATGATACAGGAGCCTAGTCACTGGATGTCACTTGTCACGGATGTTGCGGGGTTCTGAGAATTGGATAGGCTCTCCTGCTGTAAAGGAATGCAGGGTATTGGGTGCTCTTCATGAGCTGTAGCAGGGGTGGCTCTTGTCTTGGTGCTCTTGTCTTGGTCCTGCGCAGCTTTTCGCGGTTCAAACGCGCAAAGCTTCAAAGAAAGACGCAGCTGTTGAGCAACACAAACACAGAGGCAGATTTGCGCCGGGTGGTGTGAAGGTGTTGTGGAGCTTTGGTCGATCCGCTGTTTCTCTTGATTGAGCGGCGTGATGTGGTGAGACAGGAGAAAGATGCGTCTAGTCCTCCATGTTCCTCCTGGCCTTTTGTATCCTTTTGTCCAGCTGTCGCTGTCACTTCATGTCACTCATTCTGCTGCTCGTGCACATTGATTCAGATACGCCTCTTCTGACCTGGTTATATCGACCATGAAGAAGACTGAAGAGCTCGAAGTTGACGAGGCCTTCCAACATCCATAGATTCTTTCGCATGGCTGGGTGCAGAGGTCGATGTGATTTGCATTGATTTGCATGTTGCGCCGTAGTATGAACTTCATCTCTGGGCCACCCTAGTCTGAGTCACCACGATGCATTCTGTGGAACTCCACTTTTGTATACTTTTGTTATGCTTTTTCCAGGTGGTGGACAAGTGCCTTGAAGTCAAAGGAGGCAAGCTTCCAGCAAATCCCAACACACGGAGGGTGTGGTGGTACTGTGCTCTCGCTTCAGTTTGCTGGAAAATGCCCCATCTTCACTTCGAGAAAAGGTTTGCTGATGGTTGGCAGGTCTATTTTGGTTGGCAGGGGTACGATTGTTGGGTGCCATTTCAGTACCTGACCAGTTGATCACCTTATCATAGGCTGACCGACGCGTCTATCAGAACTGCTGTTGAACAAATTGGTTGTTTGTCCACCGAGTCTGTCGGTGGCAATTTCTTGCATTCGCCAGTGAGAATAATGCCATTTAATGCAGCCAAAACAAACTGTCAGGCAAACCTGGGAAGTTGGTCCAGATCCCTGAGAATCAGGTGAAAAGTCTTTGCACCTCTGTTGGAAACTCAGTCCTTCAGTGTGCGGCTGTGTGCGCGGTCGTCAATGTGCTTGACCCTTTGGGTTCTGTGAGGTCCGTACAATCTTCCTGGATCAGAGCGCCTTGCTGGACTGCATGCCATACTTTGCATGGGGGTTGCTAAAGATATGGAGGTTTTGTTGATGAAGTTGCTGATGCCAATGTCCATAGAGTCTTATTATGCAGGAGGACCAGGTTGGAATGAACAACTAAGCGTGACTTGACGTTTTCCAAATGTTGATGTGCACCAATTACAGCAGCCGCTCAGGTGTGTAAATAATTAAATGCACAATGTTGACAATGCTGAGGGGAGAGTGAATCGTCTAATTTAGCTTTAACTTGTACGAAATGAAAGTGTGTATGCATCACAAAATGTGTATGTGTGTATAAAAAATTAATATTAATATATATATATATAAATACATATGCGCGTGCGGGTCATACGCCCACACAATCCCACACACATATGTGCATCACAAACACCCACGTATATGTAGGTGGATAGATAGAATGATAAGACTCAGATAAGACAAGGTAGATAGATAGATAGATAGATAGATAGATAGATAGATAGATAGAGATAGAGATAGAGATATAGATATAGATATAGATATAGATAGAGATAGATAGATAGCTAGATAGATAGATAGGTAGATAGATAGATAGATAGATTAGATAGATTAGATAGATTAGATTAGATTAGATTGATTAGATAGATTTCATAGATTAGATAGATTAGATTAGATTAGATTAGATTAGATAAGATTAGATTAGATTAGATAGATTAGATTAGATTAGATTAGATTAGATTAGATTAGATAGATAGATAGATAGATAGATCGATAGATAATGATTAGATAGATTGGATAGATAAGGTAGATAAGATAGATAAGATAGAACATATAGATAAGATAGATAGATAGATAAGTTAGATAGGATAGATAGAAATATATATATATATAATATACATAGATTGATTAGATTGGATTAGATTAGATTGGATTAGATTAGATTGGATTAGATTAGATCAGATTAGATAGATCAGATAGATATAAGATTAGATAGATAGATTAGATAGATAGATTAGATAGATAGATTAGATAGATAGATTAGATAGATTAGATAGATAGATTAGATAGATTAGATAGATTAGATAGATTAAAGATAGATTAGATAGATTAGATAGATTAGATAGATTAGATAGATTAAAGATAGATTAGATAGATTAGATAGATTAGATAGATTAGATAGATTAGATAGATTAGATAGATAGATAGATAGATAAGATAAGATAAGATAAGATAGATAGATAGATAGATAGATAGATAGACTAGAAAGATTAGATAGATTAGGTAGATTAGGTAGATTAGATAGATTAGATAAATTAGATAGATTAGATAGATTTCATAGATTAGATAGATGGTTGGATGGATAGATAGATAGATAGATAGCTAGATAGATAGACAGACTAGAAAGATTAGAAAGATTAGATAGATTAGATAGATTAGATAAATTAGATAGATTAGATAGATTTCATAGATTAGATAGATTAGATTAGATTAGATTAGATTAGAAGAAAAGATTACCTGAATACCAGGCATGTCTGTGCATGGCCATCATCATGTCTTGCATACTAGCTATGCTTTTGGACGTTTTTCTGCATGATGCTGAAGATGTGGATGTAAAGTGTACATAATTCACACTTTCGGAATAAATAGCCCAACATGAGTATCCGGGAATCTTGAAAGTTTCTTGGAGGTGACGGTCGTGGCCTTACACGGGTTTGGCTCAAGATCGATCGAAAAGTGTGTCGCTGCTGTTTGTGTTTGACATTCACTGCACTGCAACTGGTGATTCACTGACAACGTGTTAGCTTCAACTGCACTGTCAACGATTCTTTTGCACTTGATCCTTGCTGTTCGCGCTTGCGCGATTTACTGTATTATACGGATACAGGTGGTTAAATCATATTTATACTGGTTATCAGCCGTAGCCCGGCTTAATCATACTGAGTGAGATCATTTGATTATTGGATCATTGGGCCCTTTATCAAACAACACAGTCACTCATTGCTCGCGCATTGCGCGGATGTCGGACACTCCTCCGAAGCGCACTCGTGGGAAGCGAGGTGGTGATCCATTTCGTCGCTCGCAAGTGAATCGCAAGGCTGCTGGCCTGGTCTCCCACCTGGACTACCACGATCCGGACAGTTTTGAAGCTGATCGTATTGCCCAGGAAAGGAGAGAAGAGAGGTCACGCTCAGTCGCAAAAACTGGGGCTGTGGCAAAGGGGCCAGTTGAGCCAAGGTATCCTCCAAGGGCTGTACCAGCTGCTTCTGTGGCTGGTGGAGAGTCAAGGAGGGGTGTGCCGCAGAGGCAGGTCACTGTGACCCAGTCCTCGGTGGTGGTGCCTGCTCGGCCGATTCCGCCGCCTCCAGCTCCGAGTGGTGCAGCTGAGGGCCAGTGGCAGCTGTCTTGGGTGTGGGTTCCGAATTCGGAAGATCCTGGGGCTGCTTCGTCGGTGGATAGGTCGGCGGCTCCGACTGCTCCACCAAAGGCACCTTCAAGGAGGAGATCAAGGTCGCCATTGAGGAGGAAGAGTCCAAAGGGTGTTCCTGCAAAGCCTAGCAAGGCAGGTACATCTGTGGCCGAGGCAGAAACTCCAGTTGCCAAGGCCGACACTCGGGTGGCTGAGGCTCCAAAGGAGAGCGCTAGGAAGCAGTTGCCGAGGCCAAGAGTGAAACCTACTGCGGAGACAACTGAGGCAACTTCATCACGGCCGAGGTCGCCAAAGGTGACAGGGGCAAAGGCTGTGTCTGGCACAGCTGAGGAGGTGATAGAAGTTGAGGAGGAGCCTGCGAGGAGCTCTTCACCCCTTCCGACAAGGAAGAAGAAGGCTAGAGGAGCTGCTCCGAGTTCCGGTTCAAGGACCTCGGTTGGGGCTGGTGGTGCTGAGAGGCCATTAATTGGTTTGGATTGGCATCGCACTTTGAGCCACGAGAAGTACACCGATAGTGGGGTGAAGGAATCCTTTGTTCCTCCGGCCTCCGTTGTTCTCATCAGGGAGCTCCAGAGGAAGGGTTTGACTTCTGCGTGGTGTCCTTCTCCAGCAACGTGGGTACTCAGAGGCAGACGCTTGACGGTGCTACGAACCTTCAGGCCCAGCTAGAGCGCAACTTCACGCAGATCTCCATTGTGCCTCGGAAGAAGACCTCGGACTACGCCAGGAAAGCGAGCATCACAGGCAATTGGGAGTCCAAGGCAGAGCTTGTCCGGGATCTTGGGTGTGCTATCTACATCGACGACCAGGAGGAGTTGTGCCAGGACATCAGATCCTTGCAGTCAAGTCGTGCTGTGGGGAACAGGGTCCAGACTGTGGTTGCAAACAGTCGTTCTCCGACGGACTCGCTGAAGCCCCTTGCCAATTTGGTGAAGGACAAGGAGGTCAGTGAGTTCCCAGTGCCATCGGTGCTCAAGTCCTTCAATTGAGCTTCTTTGAGATTGTGGGCGTCTTCTGGAACGTTAGTGTCTACAACCTTGTGGATTTTCAGGAGTGTGACGCAGTTCATTGGTTCGTCTTGTCTCTGATCGCTGCCCACTTTGGGCGCGAGGGCTTCGTTTCAGCAGTTCGCGCTTTGCGCGGTAGTCTTGGGCATTTTGCTCTGTTCGCGATTTCGCGACTGATCCAGGTGGTTGTCTGTAGTACGCGCTTTGCGCGGGGTGTTCTGCCAGAGAGTGTCGATGAAAAGGGAGCAGCCTGCTACTCCGTTTAGGGTTGTGGGACCGGATCATTCTGAGTGGACCACCTCGAGTGAGTCTCCAGATCAACCAATGCAGTCGGCATCAAATATGCCGGCGATTCGGGATGCCGTGTCTCAGGATGCCTTGCAGTCAACGGCTGCTACTACAACGATGCAGAGAGGCAGACGTACTTCTTCGTCAGGACAGGCTGCTGCTGGGTCATCGACTGGGCAGGATGGTGCATCATTGAATCAATTCAATACTCAAAACATTCAGCAGAACACGTTGAATCATCTTCAGCACAATGTTCACCATACTCAATCCATCAATCACATGGTAGATCCTCAACAGCTTGAGCAGATGGTAAATGCTACTGTTCAATATCGGGTGGAGGCTACTGTTTCACAGATGCGCGATCAAATGAACGCGCAGCTCGCGAGACTTGAGATAGAACATCAAGCGCGATTAAGTCAGGCAGAGCACGCGAGTAGGCAGGCGTTGCAACACATGCAGGCAGAAGGTTCGCAACAGATCACACAAATCCAGAGAGAGAGAGATCAGGCGATTCAGCAGATGAACAGGGATTCGCAGCAGCTTCAGCAAGCTCAGCACGAGAAGGCCATTTTGGCCAAGAGGGCTGAGGGAGAGATCATGTCAAACATGCAGCGTGCTGACGAAACCATATCCCAGTTGAAGAGTGACAATCTTCGCCTTGATTCGGAAAGGCGATCAATGCATGACCATATCTCTTTGTTGACCCAAGAGTTGGCGGCTTTGAAACAGCAGATGGCAGAGAGAGACAGAGCATCAACTGCCAACTCTGTTGCTGGATTTTCTCATAGAAATCCTTTTGATACTCCAGCCTTGAGGTCACCGGATCCTGATCAGGTCACGTTGAGAGCCTGCAGTGTTGCTAGTGTCAATCCGATGGAAGTGATGTTCTGCGCATGTTGTGGATCACAAAATGTGGTTGGAAGACCGTCATGTTGGAAATGTTCAACAATGTTCAGTTCGGTTACAGCCAACAATGGCGCGGATCAGTTTGTAAATCATGAGACGAGCAGTGTTGCCCCGCTATTTAGAGCACCGAGCCTTGCACATTCTGGACTATCACAGATCCAGCGTGTTGGTACTGGCTCCGTCGTTCCCATTACTGAGAGCGCATGTGCTGGAATGCCACCAAATTTTCCTAACACAGGATGTTTGACTGGTTTGGGGGCCGCGGCCAATGCCACTGCAGAGCAACAGGGGATGCAGAAACATCAGATTGTTTTTGACCCAAATGGACCTAGGGTTCAAGCAGGGCATGTGATGCCTCCGTCTCTTTTTCAGGCTTCCCAACAAGATGGTCAACCAATCGCTATGCATGGAAGTGTCACGGCTCGCGGGCCACAGTTTCACAGGATGAATTCATCATCGAACAGCCAAGGTTCCACTGACAGGTCAGAGAGTCTTCCAGCAGGAGGCGGACGTGATGGTGCCGGCAACAGTGGTCCACCACCAGGGGGGTGGCTTCTTCCTGGTGAGTCAGATGAGCAGGTGTACAAGATCAAGCATTTGAAGGGTATCCAGATCACTAGATTGCCCAATGATGCTACATCATGCAGGGAATGGCGTGCGGCTTTTCTTGCCGCGGTTAGCAGAATAGACCTCACAGATCGTGATGTGCTTGTCAAATTTTGCGTTCATTGCATGGATGGAGGTAGAGGTAGAAGGTTCAGAGAGGATTTGCAGACATCAACAGCGTTTTCCATGTTCAATAAGCATGTGGCCGCAGAGCTGATCAAACCAGAAGTCCTTGCCACCAACTCTGACCTAGCTCATGAGTTGACATCGTGGGTTGAGGAGTGTGCCACTCGTCGAGAGGGGCCAAAGGGCATGCCACTGATGAATCTCATAATCAGCTTCTATGAAACGGGAGCCGACACATCAGTTGCTCTCAGTCAAATGCACTTGTTATCATTGCAATTGGCTGGAAAATCCCTGAAAGATGTTGGAGAGTTCGTTAAGAAAACGAACTATATTTTGCACGGCCTCAAGCCATCCGACAGACCAGCTGAGAGCACGCTATATGCTTGGTTGTGGCACCAAGTCAAACGTGTGCCGATGTTGAATAGGGTGACTGAACGGATTCGCAACAGTAGGAGTGGTTCCAAGAAAAGAACGTTTGATTGGCTATGGGCTCAAATCGCAGAGGAATTGAGAGAAAGGAGGCACGATAGCAATTTCGACAACGTGTCCAAAGGGTTGCAGTCTTCTCCACCGAATCAGCTTGCCTTGCCGGCTCAGCATCAGGAACCATCAGGTAAGCAGCATCCAGGCAAGCCCAAGGTTGAATCTCGAGCTTCAGTTCCGGCCGCCCCAGGACCAATTGATCCTGGGAAATCGAGTCAGGAGAAGAAGAAGATTCCATGTGCTCTTCATGCAGCAGGACATTGTAGATTTGGAACAGGATGTAGGAACCTACACAACGGTGAACCAGGGTCAGATGTTGCCAAAAGGGCTTTCACAGAGTATCAGCAGTCAAGTTCATCATCCAAGAATCATCAAAAGGGTGATGGAAAGGGTGGCTCAAAGGGTTCAAAGGGTGATGGAAAGACCAAGAAGGGAAAGAAGGGTGACGGAAAATCAAATAAGGCTACTGTGGCCTCTACTCCGACGACAGCAGTAGCTGCCGCGGCGGCGTCCACAGTCACCATCACTGAGGTCGATGGGAAGAAGGTCATGGAAGCTTGGAAAGGCTTCTGCGAGTTCTGCTCGAAGGCCCTGCCGTCAATGTCCGTCTTCCTGAAGTTGAGTGTTCCCATTTTGGCTACATTGATTTCATCAATCGTTGACTCACCCAACTTTGAGTACATGACAGCTGCATCTGCCATTCATCCGTGTGTTGAGCAGTTCAAGTCCATGAGCATTGAGCTTCTTGGAGATACTGGTGCTGCCCTTGACATTGGTTCCATTCAAGCCCTTCGAGAACAAGGCATAGATCCTGCATTGGTGAAACCATGGATTAGCTGTCTTGACAATCCGGTCAGGTTTGCAACGGGAGGTGGACCGCAGACATCTCATGAGGAGTTGAAACTCTATGCACAACGTGTTGGGGACTTGAAGCTGCATCTTCTTGAGCATTGCCCATTGGCGATGTCTATTGGTCGACAAATCAAGAAGGGTAGAACTTTCATTTGGCGTCATGGTGAAGCCCCGTACATCGTACTAAATCACAAGAAGTGCAAGATATGGTGTCCTTTGAAACACCGGTGGTACGCCAAAAGGGTCCAGAACAACGTTCCCATCTTCGCCATCGAGCCCCAGCAGTTGGAGAATGAGGCGGTGCCGGCGGTTGCAGACTCAGAGGAGATTGGATGTCAGGATGCTTGTGAAAAGGGTGATGTTGCCAACATGGCTGCAACATGCAATCAATGCGTTGGTGAGTCGCCTCCGATCTTTTGTGAAGAGTGCATGGAGAGAAAATATGCGTGTGTTTGTTCTATGCTTCCAGCTGAGGATTCAGGTGCTGATCGCGTCATCGTCGCGAGCGCGCTGGAGCGCGAATATGTGACAGGTGAGAAGGCCGTTGTTGTTGCACAAGAAGTTCAGCAAGTTCAGCCCTATCAAGAGCACTTGAAGAAGGCCAATCGAAAGGCCCGCAGGCGTCAACGGTGGAATGCCACCAGTGCTGCTGGTCAGGGGGGTCCATCCAAGGTGCATCAAGCTCCAAAGAAAATTCATGGTGTTTCTATTGATGGAATGGTTCAGGACCTTACCAATTTCCTAGAGGAGAAGGCCAGCAAACAGCCAACCGAGGCTGAAGTATACAGACGAATCGCACGAGATGTAGCACAAGAACATACAGTTTTTCCCGTTCAGAACAGCCTTGTGAAAATGTGACCATTGAACAACACCATGAATCATTACCTGGACATGGTATGATGATAGAATTCTGCACGTCATCTGATTCTATGATTGGACAGGTTGCCAAAGAGTATGGCATCCATGTTGTCAGATGCACCGAGTCTTCTTTGAACGTGGAGCAGGAGGGTGTCATCAAGAGTCTCGAGAAGATTGTTGAATCCAAACCAGGTTGTGATTTGTGGGGTAGCCTGCCCTGTGGACCGTGGTCTCAATGGCAGACGATGAACACAAGTAGATATGGCACAGAGTTTTCAGATAGACTTGATGTTCAACGCATGAGGTCTCGCTTGATGATCAAGAAATTCCATCGTCTTGCAAAGGTTGTCATCAGGAACGGAGGAAGAGTCAATTTTGAATGGCCTCGATTTTGTGTCGGGTGGGCCACCAATGAGATCAAGCGCATGATCAAGGAGTTGGAGATGATGCTCATCGATTTTGATGGTTGCAGGGTTGGGGTTGCAGATTCTCAGGGTCATCCCCATTTGAAGAAATGGAGGGTTGCAACTACTTGTGGTAGAACTGCTCGGATTTTCTCCAAGCTACGATGCCAACACGAACCTGAGTTTAAGCATTCTGTGATCGAAGGATCCAAGACCACTGCAACAGGGCGCTATCCAAAGGTCATGTGTGAGTACATCATGTATGCATTGTACCCAGACATCATTGAGAAGTTCTGCCCAGCAATGCCAGTCATGGCTTTCAGTGAGCAGCAGGTGCATCGGGAAAGGGAGCCTGAGGAGGAACCGCCTCCAGTACATGTCCTTTTTCAAACTAATGATTCCTTTGCTTGTCCAGCTGAAATCGATGATGATGAAGCACCCGCGGATGATGAGGATGATAGAGTAAGGGAGTCTAGAGATGATAGATTGAGAAGGGATGCAAAGAGCCTTGAGCACATGACTTTGCATGATCGCAAAAATCCGTTTTGCGAGCATTGTTGCAGAGGAAGGATGCTTAGGAGATATGCACACAGATTCAGGCCCGAACCGGAAGACGCTGACGCTGCTTATGAGAGGCCTTCAGAGTTTGGAAGGATCATTGAGGCGGACACCGTATTCCCGGCTGTGGAATCAAGAGGCATGGGTGGTGAGCATTGTGCACTTGTAGTACATGATCGTTTCTCTGGTGTTAGCATTGCATACCCACAAAGTAGCAGAGATGAGGACTCAAACTATGAATCACTCAAACATTTCGCTGGCTATCCTTTGAGTGGACGCACTGACACGATCTTTTGCTCAGACAATGCACAGGAGCTGACCAATGCGGCTTCAAGACTATGTTGGGTGATCGACTCAAGTGCCCCAAACTATTGGCCCCATAACGCTCACCTTGAAAGAGATGTCAGAACGATCAAGGAATTGAGTAGGCCGTCTCACATCCAGGCTGGTTTTCATAAGAAGCTTTGGCCGCTGACCATAGATTATGTGTCGAAGGACCATAGATTATGTGTCGAAGGCTAGGTCATTCTTTTCTCCAGCACCCATCGCAAACTATGAGAAGGGTACAGATTCTGAGACAGCCAAGGCCGGAAAAACTAGATGGCAGGTCGCCACTGGTGCGGAATTTGAGGGACCCAAATACCCACTCGGTGCTCTTGTCTTTTATCGTGCAAAGGGAGATGGTTTAGCTGAGCCAACCACGAAGCCAGGTCTTTTTGTTGGGTGGCATCTGTCAGCAGGATTACGCTTCAAGGGTAATCTTCTCATCATCGACTACGAGGCAACGAGGACACGAGCACACCTGCATTGGGTACCCAAGGTCATTCACCAGAAGGAGACGTTCCTGCCACCAATTGAGCATGTTGAGTTTCCGCTCGCGCGTGCTGCGCGATCCGCCTTGCTTGACATGACAGATGTTGAAATGGTATTGAAGAGGGATGAGTTTGACAAGTCATTGATTGAGGGTGTGTTGCCGTATGATATTTGCATTGATGCATTTCCAATTGAAGATCGAGCACCACCACCAGGTCATGCATACATCACCTCTCAGCGTCTTACCAGACATGGTCTCACACGTGGTTGTTCAGGATGTGACAATGGGCATTCACGACACTGAGAATGCAGAGCCAGGTTTGATGAGATATATGGAATCCGTGGTGCTGCTCCGCCAACGCCGTCGGCAGTTCCACCAACTCCCGCAGGTGAACCGTCTTCAGGAAGCGGAGGTGCTCGGCCCCGAATGGAGGACGACATCGTTCCAGAATGCCCGCCTAGAAGTGGCAGTGACATCGAACGTGATGATCCTGGAGATGAACTTCCAGCTGCTGTCACGCGCCAACTACCTAGATCAGAAGTGCTGTCAAGGCCTGAAGCCTTGGAGGCTATCCGAAAGGAGATGGACGGTGTGGCTAGCATGGGCACATGGGAATGGGACTCAGTGGAAGAGGAACAGACAGTCAAGAAGAAGGCATTGGATAGAGGAGAAACCATTCATCTTGCTGACTTACTGGCGATCTGCTCCGAGAAACACATTGAGCTTGAAGAGTCCTACAGACAGCTAAAAGGCCGTGTCTGCTTCCGCGGTGACGCGGCTAGAACGGAGAGTGGCAACATTGCATTGTATCAAACATTGTCGGCGTCTCCGGCTTCAATTGTCGCTGCAAATGCCATCATCTGTTTTGGTTTGCTTAAGGGATGTAAAGTCAGTACGGCAGATGCCGTAAAAGCATATCTTCAATCAGAACTCAAATCACTTTGTGAGACGTGGGTAAGGCTTCCAAGGGAAGTATGGCCGGTGTCTTGGTTTGATGAACATGGCAATCCACGCTTTTACAAACCAGTAGTCAGATTGAGGAAGAGCTTATACGGTCACCCGGAGGCGGGGTCGCACTGGCAGGAACACCTTGAGGCGGAATTGTTGAGAATGGGAGGACAGAAGATTCCAGAATTTCCATCAACTTTTGAACTTCCAGAATTTCCATCAACTTTTGTGATTTTCCGAACTATCAGACATGGCCTAGCATTGGATGAGTATATGTAGACGACTTTGTGCTAGTGGAAAGGAAGAGTTTGGCACCAATGGCGTTTCTGGTTGATGATTTTCAGAGGTATTTTACATAGAGATTAGGACCGCTTCCTCGGCAGACATCATTCAACAGTCAGGGTAGAGGGCAAGGAGCTTTTTGCTTTTGACATGCGAGCATACGCACAGGACATTGTCACCGATTACCTGAGGATTTCCAATGGCAAGAAACTAAAGGTTGTAAACACACCGTTCTTTGCAAATGGTGACATTGATTCGGATGGCGAGCGTGGAGAACTTGCAAATTGCGCATCAAGTATCCTCATGAAGATGATGTGGCTAGCAAGATTGGCCAGACCAGATTTGTTGAGGGTCACCACATGGCTTGCCACAAAGATTCAGAAATGGTGTTCTGGTTGTGATGTTGCATTGTACAGAGCTATTTGCTACATAGATTCCACAAAATCCAGTTTGCTAACAGGCCATATCAATGATGATTCCGATGATGTGTTCATCGAATATTTCGTAGATGCAGACTTGTGTGGCAGCGTAGACGACTGCTACAGCACCTCCGGAGCGTGGATCCAGTTATCAGGGAAGAATACTTCATTCCCTCTATGTTGGGTTTCCAAAAAGCAGACAGCCGTGTCTCGAAGCACAACAGAAAGTGAAACTGTCGCTTTGGCAGACATTCTATTTCTAGAAGCAATTCCTTTGGCAGAGTTATTCAGTACGCTCCTAGAGCGGGACGTATTGCTCAGAATCAGGGAAGACAACGAGGCATGCGCCAAGGTATGTACTGCGGGATACTCGAAGAAATTGAGACATTTGAAGAGAGTTCATAAGATCAACCTTGCCTCTGTCAAGGATCAACTAGACAGAGAAGACACAGAATTGATGCTGGTGGGGACGAAACGTCAAAAGGCTGACATATTTACCAAGTCACTAGCAGGGCCACTGTGGCCGAATGCACTGCACATGCTTGGCATATTTGACACGTACGAGATCCTCAAGTCATCAGCGGCTGGTCTAAAGATAGGTGAGAACATTTCAAATGATCCCAACATGACTTTGGCCCCTCCTGGAAGGAACCAAGCGCATCTACCTGGGTATCGGAAACGGCAGAAGAGGAAGCCGGTGCGTGTGCCCAGATACATGAGCCCTACTGAGGAGTAGCGGTTTGGAATTGTTTGGCCACTCACCCAGCCTGTCAGTCAGGAGGGGGGAGAAAAGATTACCTGAATACCAGGCATGTCTGTGCATGGCCATCATCATGTCTTGCATACTAGCTATGCTTTTGGACGTTTTTCTGCATGATGCTGAAGATGTGGATGTAAAGTGTACATAATTCACACTTTCGGAATAAATAGCCCAACATGAGTATCCGGGAATCTTGAAAGTTTCTTGGAGGTGACGGTCGTGGCCTTACACGGGTTTGGCTCAAGATCGATCGAAAAGTGTGTCGCTGCTGTTTGTGTTTGACATTCACTGCACTGCAACTGGTGATTCACTGACAACGTGTTAGCTTCAACTGCACTGTCAACGATTCTTTTGCACTTGATCCTTGCTGTTCGCGCTTGCGCGATTTACTGTATTATACGGATACAGGTGGTTAAATCATATTTATACTTTAGATAGATAGATAGATAATGATTAGATAGATTAGATAGATAAGGTAGATAAGAAAGATAAGATAGGACATATATATAAGATAGATGGATAGATAGATAGATAGATAGATAGAGATAGATAGAGATAGATAGATAGATCAATAGATAGGTAGATAGATAGATAGATGGATAGATAGCCAGATAGAAAGTCAGATAGATAGACAAGATAGACAAGATAGACAATATGGATAGATAGATAGATAGATAGAGATAGATAGATAGATAGATAGATAGATAGATAGATAGATAGATCAATAGATAGGTAGATAGATAGATAGATAGATAGATAGTCAGATAGATAGTCAGATAGATAGACAAGATAGACAAGATAGACAATATGGATAGATAGATAGATAGATATATAAATAAGATAGATAGATAGATAGATCTATAGATAGATAGATAGACAGATAGATAGCATAAGATAGATAGATAGATAGGATAAGATAGATAGGATAAGATGGATAGGGTGAGAAAGATAGGATTAGATAGATAGGATAAGAAAGAAAGACAAGAAAGACAAGAAAGACAAGAAAGACAGAAAGAAAGAAAGAAAGAAAGGAAGGAAGAAAGAAAGAAAGAAAGAAAGAAAGAACGAAAGAAAGAAAGAAAGAAAGAAATAAAGAACGAAAGAACGATAGATCCATAGTTTAGATAGATTGATTTGATAAATAGACTAGATAAATAGATGAGATAGATTCTTTAGATACATAGATTAGATAGATAGGTTATATAGATAGACTAGATAGATAGATTAGATAGATAGATTAGATTAGATAGATTAGATAGATTGGATAGATGAGATAGATTAGATAGATTAGATAGATGAGATAGATAGATTAGATAGATATATTAGATAGATAGATTAGATAGATAGATTGGATAGAGAGATTAGATGGATTAGATAGATAGATTGGATAGAGAGATTAGATGGATTAGATAGATTAGATTAGATTAGATTAGATTAGATTAGATAGAAAGATCGATCGATAGATAGATAGATAGATAGATAGTTTAGATTAGTAATCAGATTAGATTAGATTAGATTAGATAGATAGATAGATTCGCTAGATTCGCTAGATTAGCCAGATTTGCTAGATTAGATAGATTAGATAGAATAGATAGATTTGATAGATTAGATAGATCAATGGGAATTCCAGGATCCTAAATTGGAGGTACTGTACCATATAAGGCCATATTTTGTGGGGATATTTCCTTACATAAGCCTTATATAGGCCTTATATATGGTAGGTACCTCCAATTTAGGATCCTGGAATGGCCATTCAATAGATAACATAGATAAAGTAGATAGGATAGATAGTATAGATAGGATAGATAGGATAGATAGGATAGATAGGATAGATAGGATAAGATAGGATAAGATAGGATAAATAGGATAAGATAGGATAAGATAGGATAAGATAGGATAAGATAGGATAAGATTAGATAAGATTAGATAAGATTAGATAAGATTAGATAGATAGATCGATAGATCGATAGATAGATCGATAGATAGATAGATTCAGATAGATAGGATAGATAGATAGGGTAGATAGATAGGATAGATAGATAGGACAGATAGGAAGGATAGCTAGGATAGATAGGATAGCTAGGATAGATAGGATAGATAGGATAGATATGATAGATAGGATAGATAGGATAGATAGGATAGATAGGATAGATAGATAGATAGATAGATAGGATAGGATAGGATAGGATAGATAGGATAGATAGGATAGATAAGATAGATAGGATAGGACAGATAGGATAGATAGAGAGATAGATAGATAGAGAGAGAGATATAGAATGATATAGATATAGATATGCGCGTATGTGTATGTATGCACGGCAGGAATTGGAAGCTCCCTTGAAGATCTGCGGTGACGTCCACGGCCAATACCATGACCTGCTCCGCCTTTTTGAGCCGCCTGGCATGGACATCAGAGGATAGATTGGATGTGACCGAAGGATGCTGAAGGACTGAAATGACTGAAGGTTGAAAATTTTCCGAAGGGAGAGACGTACACTGGCAGTTTAGATATCTTTGGCGTGCCTTGTGAAGATTAGAGAGGCTTTGGCGTGCCTTGCTCAGGTATGGCGGCTTTCCACCAGAAAGCAACTACCTCTTCTTGGGTGACTACGTCGACCGTTCCACGGCACAGCCGTGATCATCCAATGACTTTTTTCACACCTTGTGTGACAAAGTGTGGGACAAAGTGTGTGACAAAGATGGCAAACACACTCTTTGGTGCTTGGAATACGAGGTGGAAAGCAAAGCCTGGAGACAATCATCCTCCTGTTCGCTTACAAGGCCTCAAACGTGCACCGATGTGCGCACATTCTTCAAAGATCTAGTCGAGAGTAGTCTTTGTCATTGGGTCTAGCAAGATCCAGCAAGGCTATAGCATTTATAAAGTGAATCAGGCTGACTCGCAGAAATGAGACAACCAGTGCCATCACTTCCCCTTTGTGAGGTCAAGTTCCCTGAGAACTTCTTCCTGCTTCGCGGAAACCATGAGTTCCTTGCCTGGAATGGGATGTGGTGCGCCAGCAGCGCAACGGCATTCGCAAACCAAGGTGTGCATCCATCACCCGTATCTATGGCTTCTACGATGCAACACGGCAGATTTGGTCCGACACACTGGTTGGCCAGAAAGAGCCATCCGATATCGTTAGTCCTTGGTGCGCCCGCGACATTGTGCCACCAATGGGCTGAGATGGGCTGAGTAAATCAAGGAGGTGGTCAGTGGGTAGCTAGCAGACTCAGTCTGGGCTGAGGAATGCAAGCGGCGGTACAACATCAAATTGTGGAAGCAATTCTGTGATGTGTTCAACTGCATGTCCGTGTGTGTGACTTGGCTGCGCACTAAAAATGACCTGGAGAGTGAAGATCCAGTTCTCATGGCTGCAGTGCGACCCCGATATAACCGATTTGGAATGAGGCCATCATTGATGAGAAGATTGTGTGCATGCATGGTGCCCTGCTTGCAAGATGCCGACATTCAAGATGTAGTCTCAACCTGTTGCAATGAGTGTGTTCAGTGTTCGCTCTTTTTCTTCTGTTTCTCTTCTTTTTTCTTTTTTTCACTATGTACTCCGATTGCAACCAATAGCTTGTTTTGTTATGTTTTGTTGGGATCAGTAGTGAGTGCAAGAAAAGGCATTGTGCGAAAAGGCTCGCAGGTCTTGTCACCAGAACTCATCACTTCCCAGGCGGCCTTTCCCCCGAGATCAACAGCTTCGATCAGGTCTCGGGATAATGCCATGTGAGTATATATGGTGGCTGTGGTCGCTGTGGTCGCTGTGGTCCATTTCATCATTTCACCTTCTGTGTGACACAGTGCAGGTCAAACGCATCACTCGCCCCACTGACGTGCCGGACACGGGCCTCATTTGCGATCTCTTGTGGGCAGATCCGGACAAGGTTCGGTTTCGACTCGGCAGAATCGTAGGGGTCTAAGCCCAATGCCCTCGACAGTGACAGGTTGATCTTGTGTCTAAGGACCTTTTTTTTTTTGGAAAGAGACTCCGAGAGGTGCCAAAAATACCACAACAGACATAATGCCCTCTTCTCCATGATGCGACTCCATGCCATGCCGCACAAAACTTGTGAAGACAAACAAAATGTCAGACGCATGATGTTGTTTCCGATGGAACAGCTGGCCTGCCTTCACAGCTCATGCATATGCACACGCATGTTATCATGTGGACGGAGGCTCGCGTGAGCACTTGTCATGCACATTAAATATGCACACCTCCAACCACAAAAGTTATGCTTGCAAAACCTGGTCGTCATTATATAATCCCAGCAAATCTCAAAGATAGGGTCAGAGTCGCTCAGAGCCAATCATTGTTTGAGAGGACATTTCGGGCTGGGCAGAGAACGACCGTGGCGTATCCTTCATCTTCGGCCCTGACATCGTTGCAAACTTTTTGCAGAAACAAGCTTCTTGGATCTTCTTGGTCCTTCTTGGTTTTGGAAAGAGACTGCTGTTTCTTCCCTTTAATATTCCTCATTCAGCCAGACTGGGGGTGCTTGCCAGCGGCAGCTTCAATCATCTTCGATCTTTTTTTGCCGGCACTACTTCGGTGCATCATCCCATCATTTGACTTTTGATTTCACATTATCACATGATTTGCCCTGAGGATATGGACCTGGTGTGCCGGGCCCACCAAGTGGTCGAGGATGGCTATGAGTTCTTTGCAAAGCGCCAGCTGATCACGCTCTTTAGTGCTCCAAACTATTGCACCTGACCTGCAACAATCAATTAGGTATTAGCTTGTAATTTGATGGCTGGTAGTGCCAGTGGATGCTGGTGGCTCACTGCCACACTCCTGAAAACACAGACGTCCTTTGCTTGGTCATCAGCGGCTCAGGTGGTGAATTCGACAACGCAGGTGCCATGATGTCTATCGATGACACCTTGATGTGCAGCTTCAAGGTGCTGAAGCCTGTGAAGAAGAAGTGAGAATAGTATTGCAAGGTCGCAGACAGACTTGCCGGTGAAAGACCTGACCTGATGTTTCTATAAGCTCTTGCCTTCTGCGCCCAGACATGCACAAGCATACATGTGGCACATGCATGCAAAGGAAGCAAGTACAAGTGGAAAGGGTTGGGCCTTTTCAATATTTGTGATTATTTATCAAATTTGCTGTTTTGGCGTCGTATATGGAGGTATTTCATATCTCTCTAGGTCAGAGGCGGTTTCTTCCTATAGTCAAGCCTTGACACGGATTGATCTTACTCCAAAACTCCCAACACATTTGTATTTAGCTTTTGCCTCCCTTCGTCCCTGATGACTTCGTCTTCATTGTGCTCAGTTGAGCACTCTCATCAGACCAAAACCTCGCAGTTCACATGGAGAGTTTGGAAAGTGTTCAGGGCAGGCAGATTGGTCGGATGGCCACACGAATGATTTTTACCCGGATTCGGCTCAATGACAGATATTAGTTGAGCAGGGCTGCACAACCTTGGCCAGGAAGTGCATGCAACACCATCCAAGAATCTAGAATCTAGACCACCAGTGTCCGTGATCAGGTTTAAGACAGACAACACAGGATAAACATGAAGTCTGACTCTCAATCACGAAAAAAGGTATGTAGTGGTGCATCAGACAACTAGCGATTATTCTAAGTTTGTTCAAATCTCAGAAGCATCACATGGTGACAGCAGCCCGAGCTGGATCAAAAGTGAGCTGCCATAAAGCCTGCTTGGTGGTTGCCACTCATCGATGAGAGGCGGATCCATTTACAAGTAGCAAGTCTAATTTCTAGTTCCACAAGATGTGTGATTTTCCCCTACATTCAGTCTCAAATGCAAGGTGCCCACACTCCGGACAGGTGTTTCAAGTCCTTCAGGACTGCTAAGAAGGGAATGCAACGACTGAGACTATGAAGCTTAGTTGAGACTACCAAGTGACCAGGTGCCTTAGGTACGACAGAATTATGATATGTAGTGCTCATGATAAGATCCATAACATATGTAGCATCCACCCGCAGGCTTGGGACCTTTCACATCACGGGGGCTGCGCCGCTTTCCTTTGAAAGAGCTTGGCTATGGACATCATGATCATGTTTTGCTTCTTGAGATAGTCATAACTACTTCATAGCAGGAGAAGACATCCATGGAGCCAGAAAGTGGAATTGTATCATTCTCAAGATTGCCATTCCCCAATCTGGTAGATCAGAATTTGACAATTTGTTTGTTTACTTTGCATTCCATGCCCATGGGCCAACATGAATGCTAGAGGGTTGTTTTTGTTCGACTTCGTCTATGTTTGTTTGCATGCCTCGCTCTTTGGTTCAGATTCTCACGGCATTGGAATTTATATTGCAGGACTTCCCAGAATCAAGTTAGAATTGTTGGTGCCCAAAATCCAAGCAATGCCGAATCGGCGCGCTGAGCGACGAGGCAAAATGTCCTAGCGACGGAAGCCTCGTGGGCGAAGGTGGCTCTAGCCCCTGTCACCTTTTACCTCAGCAACAACCAAATCTGCTCTTCAAATTTGACCAATGCAAGTGTAAGAGAATTATTTCCAAGAAGATATGCACGAATTCGTAATCTCGCTGGATTCGTAGACATTTTCTGTCGGTGGTACTGGCAGTTGCGAGGTTGCAAGGATTCAGATGCGGTGACTCTCATACCATGTCGTCAGACGATATGTCCGTCGGTCTCGCCGTGTTGCGGTGGTCGCCTGTTTCAGCGGTCGCAGCACCCCGGTGAGCGACAGGGTCATTGAACCATCGCGGTCCCCACTGCCTGCCATGGATTGATTGTTGTCAATTGAAACAGATTGAGACACAGAGTCATACATAGTCCTTCCACTTCAAATGGCTGGGCATTGGATTGCCCCAGGCTCGGATTCCCAATGCTGAGAGCGATCAGATTCGCAGCACCAACACTGCAGTATACACAGCAACTTTCAACAGCCACACTACCCCCAGAGACTTAGCTATTTCCTCCACAATTTAGCATGTCAGCATATGTCAGCAATTTAATTGATTGATCAAAAACAGCTTTCTGTTCCTATTGTATCTATTGTTGCGACCATGCGCTATCACACTGGCTCTGAACTGCCACAATTCGCTTCTGACAGTGTTTGTCAAATTGATACAGCCACCAACATTTCTGGTGAGCACAGTTCGAATCTGGTCCTCGTTCACATCCGCGTCACGTGCATCGCGCGATATGCCAAGAGCAGCGAAAACTTGGTGATTTCATGTGATTTCCTTACCAATTTTATGTCATATATCATACATCACAGTATGTATATATATATACTATGTACATATGTATATATGGCTACCCACATGATTATATATATATATGTATATGTGTATATATGTATATATGTATATATGTATATATGTATATATGTATATATGTATATATGTATATATGTATATATGTATATGCAGTATGTATAGATGTATATGTATATGTATATGCCACACACACACATATATATATATATTGTATTCTCTCAACGGTCTGTCAAAGGGGTATTGGTACAAAACCGAGGTCCATATATTTTTTGAGAAAAGGCAGTCCCTGCACAGACCATTGAACATTGACGGAGCGTCCTCCAGCGGGAGCGAGCAGAGCAGTTTGTTCCTGCAGACAGTGGCCCAAGCACTAGAAAAGTGGAAAGGTAGTCAGTAGTGCTCTGACTGCCCACCCCAGAGGCACAAACCAACATGCCCTTCTTGGTTTAGGAAGAATATGCTTTGAATGCACAGTTTCAATCGGCGAATTTGAGAGGGTTGGGCTTCAAATGATTCGAGAGAAATGCTTTCTCTTGCAACAGGCATCTCTTCTCCTTCAACAAGGGAATGAAGAAAACAGTTGCCTGGAACCAACAGACAGCTAAGTGAGTGTGAAATTCAACATTGCTCTGCCCCTTTGTTAGGGCAAACTCAAGTTTGCTCGGGGAGGAAATTATTGAAGCAAGCATGCATCTCATTTCTGAGATCATTGTGCTAGATATTCTGACTGCGGAGCAATTATTTTTTGTTGCATGCTGGTTGTCCCCAGTTGCAAGTTAAATTAGTATACGTTAGTCACAGAAGATTTGAGTCTTTCAGGAAGACTTGGCCAATGATGAGATCATCGAGAAGTGCTTGGAAGCCAAAGGAGGACAGATTTCTACCGATGGAACCAGTTGGCCTCAAACAGACACACCCTCGAAGAACTTGTATCCTCAAGACTGGCTCTTGAATCTACCCTGATTTTATATCATGTATATAATTTCACATATATATATATATATATATATCACACACACATATATAGATATATATAACACGCACTCACACACACACATATATATATATATACATTTATTGAACCTCTTGAATCTCTTGAAATGCTGGCCTTTTTGAGCATCGATTTCATTCTGACCTGTGAATCTGTAGGAAAGCCGGGAAAGTTGGTGCAGATTCCCGAGGGCCAGGTGAAGAGCCTTTGCACTGCCGCAAGGGCTCCCAAAGTGCTGCTGTCAAGGGCACCGTGTCAAACTTGGATCATTCAGGGCTTCTTGAGATCTGAGGTCTCCTGGGCACAGCCAGTTTTGAAATATGTCCTTTGCATTTCTAGGCTTACATGTAATCCGAGCTTTCTACAAGCGACAATGAACTGGGCAAAGCGGAAATTGGATGAGCCGCCCTGCTACAGGGACAAAGCGTCGCTTATGCGTCGCTTTTTTGCCATGACCGCTGTTTTTCAACCTTATTTGGCAAAAAAACTGACAATCTTATTTATTGCCGCTACATTACATTGCGAGTATATGCGAGTATCGTATATTTCTTTCTGCGCAATTCCACAGTAAGATAATTTTTTTTTCCCTTGCAGTCAGGCGCGGACGATCTTCCTGGACCAGTGCCCCCTCTTGGAGCTGGAGGCCAAGTCCAACCCCTCAGATGCCAGAGAAAATTTCGATTGCCGAAATCGAGCCCAATGGAAGACAGAATAAGAAGAATAAGAGAATAAGACGCATGCAGCATATTCCCGATTTTCATCGATTTCCATCCGTTTTCATTCTTTTTCATCATTATCATTCACCTGTCAATAGGCATAACCAGAAGAAAGCTGCTGGGGATGCCTCCCTGTCCCAAAGCAACGCCTGACCCGAAGTGTGCCGTAGCAGTAGGCGCCCCTGAAGATTTGCGGCGATGTGCACGGGCAGTACCACGACTTGTTGCGCCTTTTTGTCGCTTGGGCGTGCAATTGATGAACAACTTGGTGACAGCTTTCAGATGATTTCAGAGGGTGTACTTTGCTTCAAAGCTTTTTGCTGGATTATCCTCATTCCATCCAGCATTTTTTGTTGGGAGCAACCTTGGTATCGACTTGAAAAAATACCAGCAAAGGAGTATGGCGGCTTTCCTCCTGAGAGCAACTACCTCTTCCTAGGCGCGTAGATTGGGCACATCGCTCTCTCCGAGACACAGAGATGGAGAAAGGAAATTGCCAAGAATATATCCAGAAAGACTACAAGTAGAATGCGAGGGACTACAAGTAGAATGATGCGATTCTGCATCTATGATATCTATATGTCTATAAGTCTACTCAAGGAATTATCTCACACGTTGATCATTGGGTCAAAGCCAGCATGCGGTCAGCCAAACCCTGCAGGGGACTATGTGGACCGTGGCAAGCAGAGCCTGGAGACGATCACGCTGCTTTTTGCCTACAAGGCAGGGTAGGTTTGGGTCAGGGTCACAAAGATTGATCGATGAATATCATAGGCCCTGGCAGTCTACATGGGCTGAACGTTTTTGTTTTTCCAGTTGGTCAAGGTGGGCCGAGGTTGGGCCTTAGTGTTTTGCCCCAGGTGAAGTTTCCCGAGAATTTCTTCTTGCTACGCGGAAATCATGCGGCTTTGATGCAATTTGCCATGGCACCGCCCCCCCCACAGAAAACCAGTGGCTGTCATCGCCTGGACTAATCTGCCCGCTAAAACCTTGCTATATCTTGCGAGTGGCCCCAGATGTTCGGGATTCTTGTGTAGTACAGCATGTATATACAGCAACAAAGCATTTCACGCAATTTGAAGCTGAGGAATGTGCCTCTATTACGAGGATCTACGGCTTCTATGATGAGTGCAAACGTCGCTACAACATCAAATTATGGAAACAATTTTGTGCCTTCGCCTGAAGCATGGCCTCAAAAGAATCTCACAATACTGAAGCCACGTGAAGCCGCCATGTCCTCAATCTGATCACTGGCAAACCCAAAAAATCTCAATTGGGCATTACGGAAGACACAAAGTGTGAATAGATTCGCTGAGCCCCAGAGTCTCCGCACAAGCGGACTTGCTGGTTGGTGAGGCGATGTTTTCAATTGCATGCCAGTGTGTGCCATCATTGATGATCCTCGTCGTGTGGTGCAGGGGCGATGTGATAAGCTTACTTGGTCCAAATCCTGCAAGATGGATGCCATTTAAACTCTGTTCCTGCCTGAACATTCAAAAATACCATGGGGTCTCATCGTCATGTGAATCAATTCTTAACGATGAGGCTACGTTTCGCAATCTTTGGTCGTAGCCGTGATGTGCATATAATTGCATGGTTTGCTACGCTATATCCCCAAAATATTGAATATGTGAAACAGATATGTCAACACATAGGTGTGAGATATCCAAATGCACAGGCGACCTGGCACACACACACACATGTGTGTATATATATATATTGTCACATATTTCTGTAGGAAACAAACCAACTAACTAACTAGCTAACTAACTAGCCAACTAACTAGCTAACTAACTAACTAACTAACCAACTAACTAACAGACAAACTAAGTAACGAACTAACTAACCAACAAACTAACTAACCAACAAACGAACCAACCAGCTAACTAACCAACCAACTAACTAACTAGCTAACTAACTAATTAACAAACAAACAAACAAACTAACCAACTGACTAACCAACTAACTACCAAACAGACTAACTAATCAACAAACAAACTAGTTAACAAACAAACTTAGTTAGCTAAGTAACTAATTAACTATCTCACGAACCACATTAAATAAATAACGATTCAAATGAATGAATGGAATGAATGAAAGAATGAATGCATGAAATGAACTGAACTGAAATGAGACGAGATGAAATGACATGAAATGACATGACATGACATAACATGAAATGAAATGAATGAATGAATGAATGACTGACTGAATGAATGAATGAATGAATGAATGAATGAATGAGTGTGAATGAATGAGTGAATGAATGAATGAATAAATGAATGAATGAATGAATGAGCAAATAGTTAGATAGTTAGATAGTTAGATAGATACATAGATAGTTAGATAGTTAGATAGTTAGATAGTTAGATAGTTAGATAGATAGATCGAAGTGTCCGCGTAAGTGAGAATTCATCTTTCCGCCGCATTCCTTCTCTCTCACTCTGAGGAGAAGATCGTTTGTATGCATGGAGGTTGGCAACAAAGTTTTTGAATGCACATAGTTCTGCCGTTTCGCCGCTGCTCAGATCTGGTGGACATGATGATGTTTTTTTTTTTAAAATATATATATACATAATTTCAATGCCGGTTTGAATGGTTGCTTTATAGGCTTCATGAGCATGCGGCAAGAAGGAGTCTCAACGCCTCAGCAGGTCTCTCCCCGGAGATCACTACATTCGAGCAGGTCTGGTTTTGTCGGTTGCAACCATGTCCTGAGATCCAATGTACAATCTACACCTCCTCATGATCACTGTCAACATGTGTCAATTGTACTAGTCTGGCTGAAAATTACATAGTGGTAGTAGAGTCGTAGAGGCAATTCGAGTGGTTCACCTTTCTTTGATGTTTGTGCCTCGTCCTGTTCTGCTTGCCCGATGCCACTGCACTGTGCTGAGCAATTAATTTGCCACGACCTGGTGGAGAATCAAGACTCGTCAGGTCAAGCGCATCGTGCGCCCAACAGACGTCCCAGACACCGGATTGATTTGCGATTTCCTCTGGGCTGATCCGGATAAGGACAGATATCACACCGATTGCGTAGCTTGCCATATCTTGCCATAATGGTGACCACCAAGATCACTCCAAAGCCAGCAGGCAAAAAGTATGCACTTTTTTTTTCCGGCATTTTCCCTGATTTGTCTGGATTATTCTGGATTTCTGATCCATCCGAGTTTGACCCGCTGATGTGCAGGAGATCACTGGTTGGGCCGAGAACGATCGTGGAGTGTTTCTTGTACGAAAGGATTGAAAGGACAGAGCAGCCTCCAACTAGTAAGCCCTGCATTCTAGCTGCCCAGCTGGCGCTCTGGGCCATGATCCAAGGGCCATGAAATGAGGTCCTTCATCTTTGGCCCCGATGTTGTGAGCACTTTCCTGCAGAAGCATGTGGCTTGCCTGTCCTGGCTACCACAAAGCTGCAGCAAAGGGGTGAGTATCCCGTTGCTTGAGTTGACTGCGATTGACTGGGTGGTAGGTGGTAGTATAGGCTGAAGTTTTCCTTTGAGGCGTTCAATGGCACGCATGGGGAAGAGTGTTGCCTAGTGACCTAGTGGCTCAGGACATGGACCTGGTGTGCCGGGCACACCAAGTGGTGGAAGACGGCTACGAGTTCTTCGCGAAGCGTCAGCTGATCACCCTCTTCAGTGCTCCCAACTACTGTTTCTTGCCTTATCTTTCTTGGCTCTCGTAGTCAATGACCCATGATCCTCGATTGTCGGTGAAAGTCAATGACTGTCCACTCACAGCACGCTCGCACACAAAGATAACTAGCCATAACATGGCCAGTCCTGGACAGTCAGAATCTAAGAAACAAATAGAAACAATAACTCGAGCAGAGTTACTGTATATCATGTTATATCCTAGGCGCATTTTAGGGGAGACTGCTTGATTCCTCGAGACAGAGGAATGAGACTGGCCAGCAAGTCAACGGCACAGGTGGCGAGTTTGACAATGCCGGCGCCATGATGTCTATCGATGACACCTTGATGTGCAGCTTCAAAGTGCTGAAGCCGGTGAAGAAGAAGTAAGGATAGCACAGGTGCAGTTGGGGGGTCACAACTTGCAGTGTCAACTTTTACAGATTGCTTAGGATAGTCCCAAAAGTTCAGATGTGCAAGCCAGCTGGCCTTAACGTGCTGTTTGTCAGGTATGACGATCAATTGGAATATGAGAGCTTTGCAGCATAGACTGGCCGGCGGATGCCACGTGTTCCCCAAGCAGCTGTATTTCGTAAAACTACAACCGCATTCCCAACATCCCAAGATTTTATTTTTTTGTTCGGGGCTTGCTCGTTTCAAATGATGCGAAGGGGGGGACCGCATATCAAGCTGAGCTGGGCACGCTACCGTAGGCCAGATTGGTGTGAACGTCCAGTTGCTTGGGCATCAGGTTTGGCCCTTTTGGGCGCCCTGTCAGTGTCAATGGCCCGAGACGGGCGCTGCTGGCAGGCAGTTCACCACATCTCAGGGGCCAACTAATGCAGTCATAGGTCATGCTGGTTGTGCATCTTGGGTTGATATTGCACCCATCTGATAGTCTCCAATAAGACAGCACTGCTCAACTTATAAACAATGTCAAATTATGAAGTATTATAAGTAAGTATCTTAGTGTGATTTAGTGTGAACAGGTATCCTGAGATGTGAGTGCTCACAGGTTCCCAGAGTTGTCTCCCGATGTGTCCACATTCAGTGCTTATTCGGACCTTATGCTCAGCTGACATTGTCTGCAACAAGGGGCCCATCGCATAGCACTTTAGTGGCACTTCATGATGCTGTTTGCAATTACGGGGCTAAGTCTGAATGCATTTGTGGAGTGTGAGATACGCATGTTGCGAGAAGACATTGGTTGAGCCGACCATACATACAGCCATGAAGGAAGGCATGGCTACTGGGGTCCTGCAGAGGCAAACAGGTCGCACGGGAACTTGCAAAAAGCGGATCTCCGGGAAGTAAGTATACGATGTAGAATGATGTAAAGCCATGTAAAGCCAAATGCTCTGCTGTTGACCTGTATCACATTTCACAGGTAGGATTCCTTTCAAGCCTTCAGAGTGTTTGGTCAAGTCGAACAGCCGTGCAGCTGGCAAAGAGCCAGACATCGAAGACCTCTGCTGGATGCCCTGCTGTGCTTGCGAAGATTTGGCCCTCATCTTGCTTCATCGAATTGTACAAGGAGCCACATTTCGCAGAATGCCATGACGCAGGTCTTTATTATTTCGACACCATTCCCTCTCTTTGGCATATTATATATAAATAAATAAATCAATATATATATATAGAGATATGTATGTAATATTGAACGTACACGCACAGTTCTGCACATACATACATACATACATACATACATACATACATACATACATACATACATACATACATACATACATATACATACATACATACATACATACATACATACATACATACATACATACATACATACATACATACATACATACATACATACATACATACATACATACATACATACATACATACATACATACATACATACATACATACATACACATATATATATATATATATAAATATATATATATATACATAGGTGTGCGCGCGCACACACATAATATATATATATATACACACATATAGTATGCATATTTTATGGCGATGGAGAGGGAGAGAGAGACAGAGAGAGAGAGAGAGAGATATGTATACAGAACACGCATGTCTGCACGCACTGATCTATTTACCTAATTTACCTATTTAGTTTTTGAAAAGCCTGTCTATCTACAGTATTTATCTATCTCTGTCTCTCCTTCTATCTAATAACATATCCTTCATCTACATTTGAATATATGTGCAAACACACACACACACATATATATATGTATGTATCTACATGTGCACCTTTATGTGCTGTAGCTATTATGTGCATTATGTATATGTACATCTTTGTGCTATGTGCATATTGTGTGCATGTATGCACGATGGGCATCAATCTCTGGGATTTGAATTGGTTTCGCCACCGAAGCTGTCAATCTATGCTGGAACCAGAATAATTACACATGAGGGTCGGAAATTTGCAGGCAGATTTGCTGGAAAGGATGCAAATTGCTGTGCCTTTGTCAGCCAGCCGAAACAGCCGCTCGTGAAAGCACGCAGCGGACGGCTGGGGAGTGAGCGGATCGCAGCTGCAGCAGTTGTTCTGTTGCGGGAAGTTGGCGCTTTGCTGCAGGCCATCCACAGTACTCCCTGAGTAGGACTGATGATACCAAGAAATGTTTTCGGTGATGGTGCCTGAAGGGAGGACTCGAAAGCATCCCCTCCAAGACTTTGATCCATTGCCTTCGACTCCTCTTAATGCCATCTCGGATCGTGCTTTTCAGGTTGCTTCCTTTGGGCACAGAAGCTGAGAGACATTTTGCAAGTAATTTCCTGATATTTGCTGGTGAAAAGGGCCGCGGCTCGTGCAGAAAGCCCTTTGACAAGGGAAATTGCACTGCATCCAAGCTCAGTGATAGGCATGTGGTGCAGTCAATTAAGTCTGACTCTGAGGATCTACCGAGGGTGAACCCCGAGGACGTGGAGGACTTGGAATGGATTTCCCAATCCCTCGGTGTCAGCCTAAGATTTGTGACGCAAACGGTGCTCGTCAAGATAAACGAACCCCGCCAACAGGTGGATTTGCCAGCAGCACATGCATCATCATGTCTCCCTCTTGATCTTCTCCCACTTGCTTTCCTCCGTTTCTTCCATTATCTGTGAACTCCATTTTCACACTCACCAATTTGCTTTTTGATGCTGTTTGCAAGATTCCCACTGTTGAGGTATCATCACCTCAACCCTGTGCGTTTCACAGATTCTGACACAGACCAATCTGACGTGGGGATTCCAAGGTCAAGAAAGCGTTAATCACCCCATTGGTGGCTAGAGTCTTCGTTGCTTTGGCAATCATGTATGTGCTACTTGTACCTGGGAGGATTCCAGTCCGTCTATATTGCTGCCGTTTCTTGCCACTGTTATGCCTTCTGGCATCCATTTATGTATGCTTTCCCAACAGGCTTGCGACATCTCGTTTGTTGCGCGGATTGATTTTTATTTGGAATTAATTCGTTGAGCTTGACACGGCACATATTTTTCCTGAAGACAGAGGTATCTGGTCAAAACTATCGCTAACGTAAGCTGCAACCGATGAAAGCTGCACTTTGGAAAGAACGTGTTCAGGCATCTCTGTCCATTTTGTCCACATGCGATCAGTCTACCACCTGCTTTTCTACTCCAGTGAATGTACCTGTAGAAAGATCCTTGAATCACTGAGGGATGATGTCCTCGAGCCACTGGAGATTTGGTGCTGCACAAAGAGGTTGATCATGAACAAAGTCCCAAACCGTCTTGTAAATCCATGTAAATCCTATGTTTGCTGGGAATTGGAGAGGTATTGACGAGACATGTCCAGAGACTGCATTATCTGCCATTTGATGCTCTTGTGGAGGATTCCAATGATTCCAATGGGGAACCAAAGGACCCACGTCACTCGAACTAGGCATTGGGCGCATTCGGGCGCATTTGGGCGCATTGGGCAATGTGTTTTGACTGAGGCCGTGGGACTCAGACACCTGGCAGCTATTTATGGATGGCATCGTCCCACCCTCAGACCTCAACAAGTCCGCTAGAGTCACTAGAGATATCTAGAGATCATTAGAGGTAGATTTGACGTTTTGACGTACCTGTTTTGTTACATGGACACTTCACCTCTATGTCTTGCTCCGAGTTTGTAGGCCACCCTGTATGGCCCATAGCAGGACGTTGCTTGTCTAGTTGTCTTCTAAAGTCGGGTGTGGTCAAGGAAAACGTGCTTCCGCTGTGGCCACTTACTCCTGCCCTGCTGGCGTTTCTGCCTCAGTGTTTAACAGTTCAATGATGGGTTTGTGGTAGCCGAACCGTCGTGATTTTGTTCAAATGCATCAACTCAAGATACTGGACTGCTTGCCGAGGACCTTGGTGGCTGGCCTGCTGGCAAGAAGAGGCACCCCTCTTATCAGGAGTAGCGTCAGTCTGAAGGGCCTGAAGGCATTGTGGCAGGAAACTGAAGCACCTGCCACAGTCATCCAGAGTCCAGCCATCCTCAGGTGTTGCGCAAAGACAAGGTCTGGACATCATCCAGATACCACTTCCGCTACTTGGGGGGAAGAGACGTGGATCGACCGTCAGGTGACGTTTGCTCAACCCAAGTCCCCAGAATAGCAGGGACTGGCCAAAGCAGATTCAGACATGTGGGATCACGTATGATCACATAAACATGCTTTTGATATTTCTTGATATATAAAAAAGTGCTTTCCTCAAGCTTTAGCCCCTTCCTAAGGTCTTCCAGCATTGGTCACCTAAGCAGCACTTTCTTCACCAAGAGTTCTGGGTTGGATAGCCCAGTGGCATGAGATTGCAGATGCAAGATGCGATGGGATTCTCGAGCGAAAGGAGCCTATCAAGAACTCCTCTGTTATCCAGTTTTTCCTTGTGCCCAAATCCGCAGTGTGATATAAGTGATGTAAGGTAAGGCAAGCTTATAAGATAACGTAAGGCTTACCAGTAGTACCGCACAAGGCGGTGGCGGAAGTTTCAAAAATAGGAAACCTATAGGAGAGGTTGGTTGTTGTGAATCACGGATGGCAGAGCGAAGCCACTGATGGACTGAAAGGTGCTTGAGGTCTCCTCTCTTTCTCTCTCTTTCTCTCTTTTTCTCTCTGTTTCTCTATCTTTCTCTGATTATCTACCTACCTACCTACTGATCTATCTGTCTACCTATCTACCTATCTATCTCCGAATCTATCTATCTATCTACCTATCTATCTATCTGTCTAGTTTTCTAGCTAGCTATCTATCTATCTATCTATCTATTTAGCTGTCTCTCTATCTATTTGGCTGTCTGTCTGTCTGTCTGTCTATCTCTCTCTCTCTCTCTCTTTCACCTGTCTATCTGTCTATCTGTCTATCTGTCTATCTATCTATCTATCTATCTGTCTGTCTATCTGTCTACCTGTCTATCTGTGGTGCAGTGTGATTCAGTGTAATGTAGTGTAATGTAGTGTAGTGGGGTGTAGTGGAATGTAGTGTAGTGTAGTGTCATGTAGTGTAGTGTAATGTTTAGTGTAGTGGAGTGTAGTGGAGTGTAGTGGAGTGTAGTGGAGTGTAGTTGTGTAGTCGTAGTTGTGTAGTCGTAGTTGTAGTTGTAGTATGTAGTTGTAGCTGTAGTTGTAGTTGTGCTGTAGTGGAGTGTAGTGTAGTGTAATATAGTGAAGTGTAGTGGAAGGTAGTGTAGTGTAGTGTAATGTAGTGTAGTGTAGTGTAGTGTAATATAGTGTAGCGCAGTGCAATTTAGTGCAGTGGAGTGTAGTGGAGTGTAGTGGAGTGTAGTGGAGTGTAGTTGTGTAGTTGTAGTTGTAGTTGTAGTGTTGTGGAGTGTAGTGTAGTGTAGTGTAATGTAGTGTGGTGTAGTGTAGTGGAGTGTAGTGCAGTGTAATGTAGTGTAGTGTAGTGAAGCGAAGCGAAGCGACATCTGAACCCCCAAAAGTGGTCCGAACATGGTTTTGTACATTTTTGTACATTTTGACTTCGAAATGTGCTTCGCCCCACAACGGCGTGCACTTTTTCGACATCTGAACCTCCAAAAGTGGTCCGAACATGGTTTTGTACATTTTGACTTCGAAATGTGCTTCGCACCACAACGGCGTGCACTTTTTCGACATCGCAACTTCCAAAAGTGGTCCGAACCCCTGTTGTTTTTAACATTTTGGCTTCGAAATGTGCTTCGCGCCACAACGGCGTGCACTTTTTCGACATCGCAACTTCCAAAAGTGGTCCGAACCCCTGGGGTTTTAAAATTTTGGCTTCGAAATGTGCTTCGCGCCACAACGGCGTGACTTTTTCGACATCGCAACTTCCAAAAGTGGTCCGGCGCTGGTGTGTTTTGTACATTTTGACTTGGAAATGTGCTTCGCGCCACAACGGCGTGCAATTTTTCATCTCTCATTTGGCCAGCTGACTCTGCACCCGCCGCTTTAGCGAGCCTACTTTTCGACTCTCCGGAGCTTCAAACCATTGGAAAAACACAGTGTTTCGCAACTTTCCTACCTTTTCGCGCATCTGCATCTTCTTTCTTCTGACTCTTTCTCTTCTGACTCTTTCTCTTCTACTCTTCTCTCTTCTAATCTTTCTCTTCTCTCTGCCTCTGCCCTGCTCTGCTTTTCATCTGTCCATATTGTCGGAAGTTTGACTTCTAAACTTCCTTCGATAAGTTCTCAGAAGGCAAGCTTTGTCAGGATTCTCGATAGCTCCTCCGCCAAGGCGCCTGAATCGCGCCGCAGATTTCGACGTTGCTCGGCTCTCAGTGCGTGTTGAGAAGGCCCTCCCAACCAAGGCCCTCCCTTGCAAAACTTCGAGAGATGAGAAGATGGCTGATCTCGAGAAGATGCAAAGATTTGGTGATGATTTTTGAGTCCTCACTGAAGTTCTGAAGGGATTTATTGTTCAAGGCAGCCGCTTCACCAGTGGCCATGCTGGCCATTAGCAGTGCCCTGCTAGCGCTTGGCATTGTGCAGGTGGGAACCGGGTGCATGCAATTTGTTGCTAGTAGTCTTCCATTGTACATCTATGTCGACAGTGCATTGAGGGTACGGGTGGGGTAAACAGGCTGCAGATTTCTGGGGCCTACAATGTGTTTGTGGATATTATGTTGCAGTTTTTAAATATAACATTGCCAATCCTTCCGTGAAGGAGAAGGGCAAGTAATGCATCGTGTATTGTAATGCTGCAATGCAATGCAGTATAATGTAATGCCATGTATTGCAATGCAATGTCATGCCATGTAATGTAACTTATTACCTATGTATGTGAAGTAATGAGGGCGGATGACTGAAAGGATTTAAACACAGTGATGAAGTGTTTAATTTGATGCAAAGCTAGCACTGCAGTTTTAAGGTGTAAGCTAGTGAAGTTCGAACAAAGGACTTGGTTGAAGCTTTTCATTGAACTGAGCAGCAACCCGCAAAGCACGCAAACGGCGACTCTGAAAAAGACAAATTGAAATTGGCAAAGAGTGAACGAGGTGAGAAACCACATTGATTTTCGCTTAGTCCCAACCAGGCTAGACATGAAAGCGTTAGAAAAGTCCCAACTACTGTACAAAGGATGCCACGCTACAACTTAAGAACTGGCAGGGGTAGAGAAATTAAGTACCACTCTGAAACTTGACAACCCCCTTTGTTTAAGAATGTCCATTTTGGATCTGATTATCAAAGATCACACGTATTGTGATTACGATGTCCTGACAGTCAAACATTGAAAAAACACATGACAATACATATTTTGCTAATGGAAAATTGTGTCGTAGAGTCGTAGAGGCTTTCACAGAAGAGATCCGCAAAAACGGGAAGACAATGTGACAATAGGACGACATTGGCTGTTCGGGACAGGGATGAGATGTCAGGGACAGGGATGAGATGGATGGAGGCTTATTTCAAATCTCATCGCTTCAAGATCGAATGTATCGCTTGAAGGTGCTGAATGAAAGAAGGCAAAAGACACAGCAAAATGCGTTTCAAATCTCAAAGACGAAAGCAAGTTGGATTTGAAGCAGAAACCAGGGCATGTCAGTTTCAGTGCCATCAGATTCAAAATAACCAATACAAATCTATACGAATCTGGAGTAATCAATTACATACCAAAGCAGCCTTTCGCATCTTTATGTTGTAGACAACGGCATAGGCTGAACGACACAGACAGTCTAACACATTGAAATGATATCGCCACAAAATGATATTATGTATTATTATTATTATATATATATACATACTGTATTAATTCTTTTCTTTAGCTTCGCTTTGGTTTGTGTTTTTTCTTTTTTGCTGTTTGCTTTGCGAAGGGGTGCTTCCAAATGTTGAACGTTATTCACCGTTTTCCATGTACGCGCACACACACACACCCAAAAAGCAACACAAGATTTAACTTTTTGACTCCTTCTTCACCACACGTGATTATATATATATATACACACATATATATATAAGCTTCCCCGCTACAAGCGCTAGCGTTAAGTCGTATCAGCTCGTAAAAGTCGTGTCGGGAGGCCGTGCGCCTGGAAAAAGTTTAATTTTGGCTTCACCACAACTTTTAATGATTGAGTGATTTCATTGTCTGGGGGCCGTGCGCTTGGAAAAGTTCAATTTTCGTTTCAATTTTTGTATTACGGCAATTTTTAGTACTTATAATTAATCATTCATTCAAGGGGCATAGAATATGGAATTAAAAATTTGGCTTCCCCGGGCATCCCAGGAATTGAACTTGTGAAAACAGATACTTAGAATACAGTTGAAGTCAAAAAAACAATACTTAGAATACGGTTGACCATATATAGAAATGTACAAAGGCTTCGAGCATATTCTAAGATCATTGTAGGTAAATTTGCCAGCGGAATTGGCATTTTGCATATTCTATGATAGCGGGGAAGCTTATATATACACATTCACACACATACATATGTATATATATAAATATATATATATAATCACACGCATACACGCATATATATATATGATATTGCGAACATAATCAAGGATGACTTGTTGGGTTTCATCGGCTACAACTCCACTTTGAAGCAATTTGTCATGTTTCCTTTTTCCTGCTTCTTTGAAGATGTGTCTGTTTAAGCCATGATTCAGGCATTGTTTTCAGCATCAGCCTGCTTTTATTTTTCTATGCCATATGCCTATTTCTTTGCTTGTCGTTTGTCATGGGCAATTTCTTGGGAGTTACAATAGGAAGTGGATAAGATTGCTACTCTGGACTGTGGATTCAGTGTGATGCCAGATGTTATAACCTTGAAGAGAGGTCAAAATCTGACTGGATGCATTTTCTCCGGGACGTGTGGCATGAAACATCTGCAGTGCAGTTCGAATATAGTATAAAGAGAACCTGCGGATTTGCAACAGGAAAGAATGAAGAGGAGCATAGAAAATGCTGGCTTTAAACTAAAGGCGCAAAGTGAAAATGTTTGATTAGCTGAGAAATGTTGCATTGGATCAAACCTGAAAGAGGAATGGAATAATTTGCTTTGATGTTAAGAACGCTTGAGCACGAGGAATCTGAAAAAAAATTGGCGATGACACGTCAAACCAAATCCCACACACCTTACATGCAGTGCAATTATATCATGAAATCAAT